ACGATCTAAATAAAGACTTATTCACCACTAGTTGGGTTTCTTCTATCAATAAAACAAGGGTTGCCAACAGGCACGAAAAGTTCACCAAGGAACTTTCGAATAAATGGGAGCTATCCGTGGCTAGCTTTCTTTCTCTTCTATGTTTCCGCATCATCCATATCTCATCGGTCGCAGCATCCACATTACAACTAGTCGGATGATAATGATTTTCTGGGTCATCAGTCGCTGCTTCTGCAACTTGGTCACCAGTACCTAATGGTGTATCGCTCGGTGATTGTTTTCAGACAGAAAGCCATATTACGTGTTGCACAGCCGTGTGGCTGGCACGTGCCGTAACAGCACTTACGACACTGACGCATTCCTCCTAATCACTACCCATGTTACTAGTACAGTCCTAGTCAAACTTTTTGTTAGCCAACGCTAGAAGGCTAAATTTCTCTTGGATGAGTAAGGTTTTGCTCGGACAACAAAACATACAGAACCAATGAGAATTAAGTTTTGGGCGTGTGTTATAGAAAGTTGGATTTAAGCGTGTACACATCTTATGGAACCACTTCTTACACTCATTACATTCCATTCCTTATTCCACAGGGAATAAGGAATATGACTGTCCATATTTGTAGGCAGAACTGACCATCTTAGAAATTAACTAAAAGTGGTAACACAAAAATGGGTATTTAAAAACAAAATCTCAAACCTTAACCTCATAAGTCTAGTTAAATTCGACTAAGTATGCTTTGATGCAATGGATACACAAAAGCAAAGTCAATACACACAAGTACAACATCAATTTAACTGAAATGAAGTCAATTAAAGTTTGTATAGTAGTTCTGATGTGTAGTTTACGATCAAAACAGTAAATTTAACTCTACCCAAGCAACACAAAAAGGGGAAATAAAGGCGAAGATAGGGGAAATAAAGCGGACGACAGCGTAAATAAAGGGGAAATGTCGCTTTTTCACCTTTACGTCGGTTATTTAGGGGAAATGTCGCTTTTTCCCCCTTACGTCGTGTATTTGGGGGAAATTTGTCGACAATTCTATGTAACGTACAGTATTCGAATGAACCGCTTCTGGAGCTTCATTTTTCATAAACTTCGACGAATTAAGGCACCGCTTAATGAAAAAACAAAACTATTGTCATAAAAACAAGGTACAAAATACGGAACCAGGCATTCAGTTCATACGCATAGACTGACTTCGTCTGTTGTTTAGCTAAATTGTTCCGACATGCTTGGGAGCCATCACAAAAAACTTTTGTGATGCAGGTGGGCACACTATGCGTGTTAGTTTACGGGTTTTCGCGCACATGTAACATATTGTCGTGGATTTTATGTTTCGTTATTTATCAGCTATTAACAGCCTTTTTCCATCATACGTGACTTCTCGTAATCTTTGTGATTGGAAGATAGTATTTATTTCAATTTATAAGCAGTTTGACGTATTTTGTGCTCACCACCTAAGTAAACATGCAGTTGGCGTAATATGGTTATTTTTTAATAATACAAGGTCAAACAAGTCAAATCACCATTTTTCTAGTGAAAAATAGAAAACAGATTGACTTTTCATGAAAATAAGCCGTGAAAAGCATTATATATGGTTCACCTCCTTGATTATGGTGACAGCAAACATAGATGTTCGCAGTCGTTTATAAGATGTTATCAGAAAGAAGTAAGCATTAAACTAACTATGGATATTATATAAATTGTTTGTATTTAGCCATAAAAGGTTATTTGCACTAAAGGTAGCATTGTTTGGTATTGAAGTGACATATTATTGTGTAACGTATCAGAGAAAAATTATGTGAGTAAGAATTGATGTTGATAGTCTTTTTTACCGGCTTTCTGAACGTATACAGGAACAGTGTATAACACCACATTAAATAGGCACAAAATCTTCATAAGTGAAACGATGGCTGTCTCTTCTGAGCATAGTGACAAAACCATGTCGTACTTAATATTGATTCATGATGTGTCTGTTATAGAGTTGACGAATAATTTTCTGTAAACGAAATGCACAGTCTCAGACGAAAATGTGAACAAACTTATGATGCATATTGTCCAGTAATATCTAAATGGTACCTACCAATTTTTCTTGCTAATACCAGATGTATGTACGAAATAATACAAGGGTTAGACACTGAATAAATTCCCAGTGCTTGTTACGACACAGACTTGAATAAAAAACAACTATTCATGAGTTAATTCATGAATTCCTACTGTATTACAGACTGACTCGTCCGAAGTAATTCATGCAGACAACGGGACGAAAAGTGAATGAGCAATGGAAGCAGAATCACAAGTTCCTTGTATTCATATCTCGTTTATGCCACATTAATGAATAACATTTTCTTCATAATTCAGACCACGCTTCTTTGTTGTGACGAAACTGATTTCAGCAATTTTTAAATAACATTGATTTGTGTGTTGTAAAGATTACCTATTAATTTTTATTAAAGGAAATAGAAATCTCTAATGATTAGCGCTGTCTGCAAATAAGAGACTTATAGGTACATTCTGTAACCTGCTATTTGATGTACTTATTGAATGTGATACTTATAACTAGGTATAATTCTTTATTTCACAACTGATTTGTTTGTTTTTTCAGAATTGTATGAATCCAATAAAGTCGTCAAAAGTTTGTGATGTTTACGCCGGTCTACAACTTACAGAATTTGTTAAAAAACGGTTTACATGTTCACGTTAACTGTGTTCCGTATTGCCTAGTAACATTTTTATTCAACTAATGAATTAGTGAAATATAAATATAGCAACTACACTTATTGTCTTACTTTATAAACCGTGTCCGTCTTTATTAATAGTCGATATGACGCTAGAACAAATATAGATATAGAATAATATGAACTCCTTATAATCCATGGAGTGAACAAGTAATAAGATGGATTATGTATTAATTCATTTCACTTTTAAAATTTAGTTGCCGATTTATTCCAGCACCCTGTCACTTACATCTGCTCACTTAATCCTCTGTAATTATGTGACCTCTTCAAATTGTAATAAGTTATTACGTGTCCCAAGTTTTCAGTTCTTAAATCCACGGATCACTTATAGGCCATAAGATTTTCACACCACTTATCTGTCTGTGAACTCCAGTCCACTATTACACCACCCACTCTTAATGTGTTATTGACTGTAAAAACAAATGACCTTTGACCTTAAACTGCATATATATATATATATATATATATATATATATATATATATATATAGTCATTATTGATAACCCACGTCATTTCAATTATTCATATTAAGGTATGTCAACTGTTTCCCACATCACTGTTAAATCCTAATGCATATTTAGTTATAACGAATGCATACCACTGTTAATCAACATTTATCCTGGTTTCATTTTAATTCATAAGCGGAACTAATCACATGGAATTAAAATCTTAGCTACTGATACGATTTTAATTATAAACGTAATCCGACGAAGGTGAATATGATATGTGGGTGCCTAATCTGCAAAATTGTACGTGGATGTAGGGTTTCTGAATCATTCTTAATTATTACAAACAGTTACACATGAACGTCATTGCTATTTATTCCCATGAAACTAGGAATAAGGTGAAAATTAAAATTATGACAGTTTACTGAATAATCATTGCTGCTAAAGCAGAAAATCAAGTTTACAAGTTGGTATTAAGAATTCTTAAGTAATAATTGTCCACCTTCTTCTCAACTTCCGTTGCGAAACGTTCATCATACTTCTCAATGATGCGTTGCTTATGGATTCTTCGACTTCGTTGAATACTTATATACACTTCACTCCGTCGTGTTAATGCAGTTAATGTATAATTTTGGAAGTTCTGGGTAATATGTAACTTCCATCTGCTACAATACCTAAGAAGTTGATGAGCTATGCAGTTAGTATTTCATAATTGATATAGCTTACCTGTAAGATTTCGTCTTTTAACGTAGGCAAGTAGCATGTGACGGCAGGGATATCGGCACATCATAAACGTGCTACAATTGCATTGACAAATGCTTATATCAACTTCATAATGTTGTCCGCGATCAACCATAAACAACCAATCACCGCTTTCATATTCCACGTAGACAAAACGCATTTGTTTAAGTTCGTATAACAATTTAGATCTAGCGAATGGGGTTAAAATGTTTAGCAGGGGTGTAAGACGCTGAGGAGCATTATATTTATAAGATCTTCCGGCTATCACTTGATCTTCGATACTTCTTCTAGCTGACGTCATTTCACTCCATTTTAAAGCCTTGTACATACACTTGTACAGACTATCACTTTTGCGTACATATCGTTTAATTTGCCTATTCAGCGATTCAACACGATTATTCGTGCTGTTACCCAATGTTAAAACATGACCGTAAAAGGCACGCGCTCACATCGTCTTACGTGCCATCCAAAAACGTGACAGGTACTGACCTATCAATCTGTCCCGTCGATTTATTATTCTGTAATATTGATTAAATCTATTGAATAAACACATTACAAAAATTATCTTTCAACCGTCTCCGCAGTTACCAATCGAGTTAAGTAGGCTTTCATTATTTTGTCGTTTGTCTAAGGGCAATTTTATATAAGTAACCATTGGTGTACCTTTTTCCGGAAAGCGCGAATTACATGAAAGGCGCACAAAATTATGTTTGCATGTCCGTGTGTCATACGGACAGCCGCGCTTTCACATCTTGCGCAGTCCATCACAAATGTTTCAGTCAACATTGTATCCCCCATTATCTCTGTGAATTGATCTAGAATCCATATAACATCAGCACGCTTTTCCCTTCGAGTCCATGCAAACATTACAGTTCGACCTCGACCGCAATTATCCGTCACTACTAACTGGAATAAGGAATATCTACATAGTAAAATACAACGATAAACATATTCACTTTTTATTATTAGTATTATACGTAGAATCAATGCACACAACTTCTGGATATTTTCTGTACAGTTGTATTTGGTTAGAACTACTGAAACATATTCTAGTGGCATATCCATTTTCCAAATGTTCCTTCACTTCGCCTCTCTGTCTAAGCATATCCATTACCTGGTTCCGAGTAAAACAACCTGAAATATATTTATATACACTTACCAGTGGAGAGTGTAGCTTTCATACCTTTGACATCGGCAGCAGTTGCTTGCTTACCAGTTCTCTCCTTAATGCTTTCGATAACTTCATCTGCTGACTCACAGTGAAGTATTACGGGCTTCAAGTTCTCTTTTTCTTCTGACGATAATCTCCTTGTCAATGGATCACATACCATCCATGAACTACTACATGGATGATTGTGGAGCATGTTGTAGGATTTGATGACATATCCTTGCTCCTCTAGTCTTACACGAAATTTAGATCGACAATTACGGAATTTAGACCTTAAACATAAGATATTAGTTAAAGATCTTACGATTTTTGCCTCACTTTCAAACCTTCCGATTTCCTCTTATGACCAAACGTACAATTAAATGATACAAACAGGTATTTGAACCTGACATCCTTCAGCAATCTGCTTTCTGTGTGGATGTAACGAGTATAAGTAGTCTGAGAAGCGATAAAATTATAATTCCATACTTTTTGGAACTCTTTTAAGGCGCTTTCAAAATCATCCCAGAAGACGAAACGCTTGTTCAGTATCATACTTCGAAAGGCATCGGTTAGGTCGACTGAAATGTCACTTGAGCATGAAGCACTAAAAACAGAAATGACTAATTATTAAAAGGTTATTCCTTGCGACAATAATAACCCAAGAAAATACTACAAATACTTAGGATTTACCTGTGACTTGACATTTCGTTGAGCTTTACTACAGTTGTTGGGATCAAAGATCAAATTACAAAGCAACAACAGAGCCAACGTGTATACTACAAAACAGAGAACGCTAAATTAATGGTTTTGGTATTTATTTCGTGCTTTTTTATGTAGCATAACATGACTTATATATGAAAAAACTTGGTACTCATGCAATCCAACCAACCCACGGCAATTGAAATACGGAATGACCGCCTCTAGTCAAGCCGATCAAGGTCGTTGAAACGAAAGAGCGGGCACATTTCAAAAGGACCTAACGTTTAAACCTTGCCATGCAGGTGAGTGACGTGCTCTCGGATTTTCATGTTCATTGTAACTAATTACATTGTTAGTCCAATACTAAGAGTTCTGTTGAAGTCAGTGAGAATGTTCGTAGACGTAGGGCCACTGTGAACTTGTCACGTTCCCTTGGCTGTCATAGATCCACTTATAACAGAAGGTGGAATAAAATGAGAGCTGCTTTCATGAAAAAATATGACTTTCCTTCGTTCAGTGAGTTTGCTAATGAAAGCACCCTAAAAGGTAACTGAGTTCAACAATGTTGTTTATTAAATTGATAGAAGTAAAGAGAGAAATCAGTTGTAATGACAGTACTTCAACTATTACACCATCGACTAGCAACATCAATCAAGGACTTTCAGATAATAGTGGTATGTATATTAAATTCTTACGTGAATATATATTTTACAGGATCTCCTGAAGTAAACCTGTGCTCTCAAAAGTTCGTGAATCGCAAAGAGATGATGAACGACTTTATGATGTATCTAATGTCAAATACATCTCTAAGCATAAGAGATGCTGATCGGGTTCTGTATGGTCTACGATTTCTTATCCCTGACATACCGAAAAGCATCAGAGGTGTCCTAAAGACGTGTCCAAGTGTTCAACCAAAGTTTATCGGCAGTGGGGTTAACTACCTTGAAAACACTCTGCCACATAACACTGAGAAGCCCAAGAGGTCTGTACAATAATCTTACTAGCATTTCCTAGAGCTACCATGAAGCGTAAACAAGAATATCTTTACAATTCAGTCGCTGAAATGCAGGCTGGCAATAGTCATATTCAATATCCCAAATTCAGGTTGTTTGACAAATTAGTTTCGCCTATTGCTAAGTAAGTTTCATGACTATTTACATGTTCAAAAATTAGTTCGACGCAATTACAGACATCCCCGTCTACATCTGCATCAAAGCGTGTCCATGGTGCTTCAGCAGACCAGTAAGTCACCTGCATTATCAAATGGACTTTTTCAGGTTAGATAGCTTGCATGCAATGGTGCAAAACATTTTGTCAACTATGAATGACTTCAGTCAAAGGTTGCAGAATATGTCAACAGCCATTTCCGATTTGAGCATTAATGTAAAGCAATTGCTTTCAAAGTCGAATGAGCGCGAAAGACCGCATCAATTCGATTGCGGACTGTCAAGTCAGCATTTCCCTTTGTCATCTGAAGGGGAACTACAGATGCTGGATACTGGCTTGTTGCAGAAAGAAACCAGAGACAGATTTGTAAGTCATTAACATGAATTTAACAATTTGTTACTATTACAGATGGCATTGGTCACTAGGTTATCAAGTGACGATCCAAAAACGTCGATGCGGTTTGTTCTGTCGTATCTGTTGACACCTGAGGTTGCCAGTCAATTCACGTTACTTGGCACCTCTTCCAAACGAGCACTTCAGAAATGCACGTTTTACGGCTGCATACGAAGTAACCTATATCTATCACTTAAACTTCAGATGCCTTAACTTATCGCTTTCTGTCATCCTCTGTCAACGAAAAAGACCTTGGTAAGCTCTATGACATCGCGACACAAGGTTACTTTCACGATATCCGAGACAAGATGATGAAGCGTAATAGAAGAAAACAAGACCAGGTATGTACTAATTTGAAGTGATAACCTCCCTATGGCTCTTTAGTTACAGTCAACAATATTAACGGACATAACCGTAAGTTCAGCTTCAAGTATTTGGCTGTGCCAAAGCATGTCATTGAAATATGGTTATGACTTTTTTTTCTTTTTTTTGTTTATTCAGAATTCACAGAACGACTACCTCAATTCTCAATAGTCCGTGCAATTGTTTTGATGTTCTACCTCGATTTCAATAAACATTCTTTCAAACAGCTTACTCTTTTACTTACGTGGGAAACTGTTGAAGTGTTAAGAATGTGTGTTTGAGTGTCATTGAACTTTTGATTAAATGCACATTCCTTATAAATAAAAAAAACCTGTTCCTTCTTTTTTTCAGATAATTTCAAATAACAATGAATTAGCAATTGCATTGGATATGCAAAACAATCGATGCTTAAGCTTCTGCTCTAGTGTTGTACAATAATACGCTTTTCCTTTTAAATAAAATTTTTAAAAAACTTACCGCTTTTCCACTGCATTGCAGATATATTTTCGTCTGTTGCTGAAAATAAAGGCAAACATAGGAGACGTTTGGGGTTCTGTCGATGGATGGAAAATAGGAGGTAATGTGTGTATTTAGGCGAAAAGTAGAAAATTAAGCGCATAAGTAGGAAATTTAGGCGAAAAGTCGGTAATTTGTCGACAAAAAGGGGAAAATCCGCATTATTTCCCCCGGACAGGCGACATTCTGGCGCGTTTTCCCCTTTCGCTACCAAAGCATTTACCCCTTTATTTCCCCTTTTTGGGTTGTCTGGGTAGGAGGAATAATACCCCTGTCCTATTTGAATGACGTTGGAATCCGATCTCCCGGTTGTTCCGGCTAGAGTTTTTTGAACCTAATTCATATGGTGTTGTCACTGTCCGTATATCGTCAGTCCAAGAATTAGCCAGCACTTACTTGGACCTTATCTAATGCCAACACTACCCACTCGACATCAAACTGAACGGTAGTTTCCCCACTTTTACAGGTTCATTTTATCTACACCACACACAAACTGACACCTGGAGACTACTCATTGCAACAACTTATACCTTCATAGCGCTTCCTGCATAAACTCCTATCCTGCCACCAAATCTTATCCTTTCACTTCTTTTCGTAATACATATATTACTTCTTACTCTAATTGTTTCGCAAGTTATTTACGTACCCCACCTTTTCTTCCTTCATTTTTTTCGCTGAAGTGAACTAAATATCCTCTCATACACTACAGAACATATTTAACTATGGCGAACATTATGTTAACATTATTGGAGCTTGCGTATAGTCGCACTTTTAAAGAAATTCCAAATGGTTCCCTCACATCATTTATGTGCCAATGTAATCTGTCAGTAATACTGAGTAAACTCGAAAAGATCTTTAAGTGTTTACAATAAAGCACTGATATGCAAAATGGACTAAAGTAACGAGCCAGCACGAGAAAGAACCCAGCTTTAGGTAAGTAATCATTAAGGGATTATTCTTGTGACAAACTGATGTAAACACGTAAAACGACAGGACGGTGTACACAGAATCCAGGGTCTCTAAGAGGATTAAAGCCACTGTTTCTCTGGGTCTAGTGATTAATCGGCTGGAAAACTCCACTACATATAACTCTCTAAACCTGCTTTAACACCTTTGGCGACTATACAGGCACATCTCGAGAAAGAAACCATTGAGCAGAAATTAGGAAACACTTTGACAACAGGTATGTCATTAAAAGAGACATGAATATTCCTCAACCTGTGGCTAAGCTACCTAAAGTAGAAATGTCGTGGTTGTGTGCTAAACCATGCACTTACATATCCCAATATAATATACAGATATCCAAGGTAAACCTTAAGTCGCATGATCCAAAACTAGTCTTAATCAACAAGGTAATCGCAGTGAATGTCACCTTAAATATACTCTGTGACGAACAGGTTGTTAGAATTATTTTTAAAAGTTTGTAGTTTCTTTTGGTTTTTTTTTTAAATTTTTATTTTATATATTTCTTTATGTATTCGCTACTGCCTTTTTGTTCGTTGTTCAGTAAGTAACTTGTTGAAATACCCTGTGCTGAGAATTCTATATTGTACCAAAATATAATATTGAATAAAGCCATTAATAATAATAATAATAATAATAATAATAATAATAATAATAATAATAATAATAATAATAATAATAATAAAAGGACGCTCCACTTTGATCAGCCATAGCGCTACAAATATTTTACTGAGATTTCTTTGTAACACGAAATCCTGCTTCTATCTAGCAGATCTGCATGCCTGTAGAATCTAGTTAAGCTAATAAATAAAAAAGTTTCGCTTACTAATATCGCAAACATACTAATACGTTTCAATACCACCAAAAAAATGAACACATCATGTGCAAGGGCATAAGTTATGACAGATCAGTGGCTTAGAAAATGAAGCATCACATCTGTAGTTGGTGTGCATAAAAAAACAAAGAACTGACAAGTAAAAAGTTTCTGGTTTATTGTACAATATTACAAAAATGTACATAAATAGACAACTTCGAATGAAATATAAAAATTTTAGGTAGTATAATTACTAAAAAATGAAATGCTACACAAATGAAGATGTGACCTGGTCTTTGGCTGACACATTTGATTTAGACAAACTTGAAGACATTTGGTTCAAAAGATCCATAATAAGGTTTCCTTGATCACCGGTAAAGTAAACTTTAGAGTTTTGTGCCAAAGCTTGGTATTTAGCTAATTCCAAATACGCTGGAGTTAACTTTAAATGGCTTGCTTCAGCCTCTTTCATAGCACGATAATATTCTGCGTCTGTAAGCGCTCTAGATCGGGCAAGTTGTGTGGCATCTGCAACCTCACTGATTTTTCGTTCATGCTCTTGAGCAACTAATTTAGCTCGCCATTCTATTGCAGAAACCTCAGCTAGCTTTTCAGCCTCTAATTTATTATAAAAGCAAAACTTCATTTTAGGTATATAAAGAATACAACAACAACTTGCATCAGCTACAAGTAACTTAAGTTTATAAAAATCTAATAATGAATGTAATATTGTAGAGTATGTGAAACATTCAAGATTGTCAACACCAAATTTAATAGACTTATCTGTTAAGTATTAATTCATTTCCTAAAGTATGTTATGAATCGATAGTGTTCAAAAACTTTGGAATAAAGTGAAAAATGATTATGACAGTCTAAAAGAAACTGAAAATTAGGAATTATAAAAATGCTAAAGTACAATCAATCAGAAATGTTAGTCATTGTTAAGCGATAACTAACTATCAAAGTTTTTTATTATATTGGTACTGTTATTTTAAACTGTACAAACACTAACTATAAAATTAATTTGAAGTCACATGTGTCCAGAAGTAACTGATTTGACACCATTAACCATACAAGACTGGTAAAGTTTATTTGTTATTCAAGAATTAAGTTATGTTATGAAATAAACACGAATTATGAAAACTGATTATTATCTAAGCATAACAAGAGCCATATGAATAATTGAACAGATAGGATTGTGGAGATTGATTTTTAAATGAGATCATAAAGCCACGACCAGTGAAGTTCAACCGTGTCAGGTGTGAGGCAGTTACTCACCGAAAACAATCGATGGTCACGCAATACCGCGTATTGGTTGAAGTTAGACATCAAGACTGTTGGATGCTGGCTCAGTTGTCTAGAGGTTAAGCGTTTGCGCGCGAGAAGTCGTGGATGCACATTGCTGAGGAGTACTCATACTGGGACAAAATGGCCGTCTAGTACTCACGGGTTTTCAATGGTGGTCTAATATTGGTCGGTTCATGATCTCAATTAAAATGATAATAACTTACAGCAGTCTATTGACATATACCTATAAGTAAATAACTCAACATCATATACAATATTGTTTATTAATTGGTCACAATTATGTTTGAGATGACTTGAAAGACCTAAAAATCACTAATCCCTGTCATATTAAGGTTATTACAACACCTACGAAATATGACGAAGTGAAAAAGATTTCTAAAACGGATTCACGAAAAGATTAAGGAAAACGCGAGACGTATTTACTTCCCACTCAAGATATATACTTTGTTTGTTAGCTTTGCGTTGAAAACAGAAATTTATCATAAGTAAATAAATGTGTACAAATGTAGTTTGTTAAAATTTTGTCTTTACCATGCCTCTGTTTTGATTGCTTTTGTTCATACATTTAAAAAAACTTATGTACTGCCTATATTTTATTATTATTAGAATAAAGGGTTTGAGGAGAACGGTCAACTTATAGTTATTATCACAAACCGACTTCAGCTAGAAAAACCACTGAAAATCACAGGATACTGGGGAGTTATTTTTCCCCGGTAAAGGACTACTTTCAGCAGCGACCGGGACCTCCCCGGTGAGGACTTGCATTGAACGCGTCGCACATTTAATTTACTTACCCGAAGAATTGCATGTATTTTCTATGCTTAATAAATCTTGTGTTTTATTTATTTTTCGTCAGAAATACCCATTTTAACATTCTGGGTAATCAACATAGAATTTATTTATAAATTAGTACGGCGGTATATGAAAATATGATTGTAATGTTTTGAAAATGAACTGGTTAGAAATAATTTCTTTGCTGTAAAAACTTTGATAATGTGGAATAACGATTCAATTTATCAAAAAGACTAAAGCAGACCGATGATTCATTTAAGTTTTTAAAGTTCAAGGAAGACATTTTTGATTGAAAGATTTCACTGGCTGATATTAACCGGATGTCATATTTTACTCACAATTTGACTTATTAATAAAGAGTACTTACAGTTATATTTAACTATTTTCCCAATTTTATCGTTACAAGTTGTATTATTCTGTTACAGTAAATCATTTATTCTATTTTGTTATAATCATACTGATACATTTCAGTTTACTTTTCTATTCGTAAGTGTTTCTCTTAGTTTGGTTTAATTCTGTGGGTTACTTTATAAAAATTTGTTAAAATTAAATGGTTAATCTGTTTTCGGAAATGTAGAAGATAAATCTGTATCTTTAATTATAGATACTGTTGATCTAAATAGTCATGTACTGTCTGATTTTTTTATTTGTAAGAAGGATTATGCTTTTCATTGGGTAAGTGATGCGTGAACACTGGAATTTAAAGTTTGAAAATTGTCAACGTTTATTTGATCAACTATTATACTAACACAATCCCAGAAAATTTCGACATTTAGCTTTAGAATATTTTTGTGCAGCTCGGTCGTTAAATAAGAATATCTGTATGGATTCTACAGGTTGACCATAAATATCTTACTCCGAAAGTGTGCCATATGATGTCATAATATTAACTAACTAAAAATTAAATCTAATAGTCTACAGACTTTGAGTCACAGCAATTTGAAAACATGAGTAGTTTATCACTTGTTATAAAATAGTGGTGACAACATGATTTACACTGAATAACAGTGAATGTATAAAAATAAAACGAATCCAAACCATTGTCTCAGTAGATCTGAGTTCTAAACTGGGGAGACCTGTATGATACAAATGAAATAAATTCAAGTAGAAAATGATATGAAACCGCTAAATAAGAGACAAATCAGTATTTTTAGATTGATAAACCCATGTGTAGGGATTCTTCTTTTCAGAAATCTAAAACAATTAGTCCCTTTGATAAATTTCGAGACTGCGACCCTTTTTATGCGTTCAAAAACAATTTGTCGTTGCCTTTAACCTGCCCTGATAATACTGACTTATTATCCAGAGTGGTTATCACACTGTTTTTGTGTACTTAAATATTTTTCCTTTGTTATGACTTACCCTTAACCTGTCTAGTTGACCTTTTAATTTTCATATTAAAGTATCTTAACAAGTATATGTGTGATCAGATTGTTCGAAATGTATTGCGCAAATATATCACATAAATATGATAAACTTTGTCTTCTCATTGCATTATCGAAACGCATGTGTATGTGGGAGTTGAATAATATGAAGAAAATAATAAACTTACCAATTATTGCACGACGACGCTCAGTTTCAGCTTCTCGTTCAATTAACTTTTGATGTTGTTCAGCAATTAGCAGTTTTGTTTTTTCAGCTTCCATAGCTTCATAATTGCGTCTAATGGCTTCAGGAATTTTAGGCTTCGTAACTCGTACCGCTTGAATATATAAACCAGGAGCCATTAAAATTAGATCTGCTTGCAATGTTCGCTTTAAAAATTCATCTATTTGATCTATTAAAATAAAACCATGTAGTTTCTTTGTCACACACTTTTTAGAAGTATGAAAAGTAAACGAAAAACTATAAAATAACAGTCTATGAATATAAAATACACCATTGAGTTCGTGTTTTTAAACAAAAGTGAACAGGCTGGGGCAAGTAAATGCCGCCTAAATCACGTTAATGGTTATAAAAAGGGCTTAGTTAGATGAGTTGATAAACTATCATTGTAAACCAGTGGTGATTCAGGGAATGATGGCTGAAAGTGAAGAAGTAGGTTGGAGAAAAGCTAAGGGCGGTCAAATTAAAAAGTGACTGATTGTTTATCTGAGGCATGTTGGCATGTAGTTCGAGCCCGTGTGACAACTGCAATCAGTGGTTGAAGACTTCGAGCAACATGGCTCAAAATCGCTTGCGATGGCACAGATGCATTCACTCTTTACATTCCTTTCGATATTGAATCCCAGTAACTTTATACGTATCTTTTTACTCTGTCTCTTAAAAATATGCTCTCAAGGTTTAATCATTCTTTTTAGCATTGGTTCTACATTATTCCGATCTCTCTCGCTATTTCAACCTTGTTTCACTAATCAGGTATGCCAACTTGGACCAAAGAGCATATGTGTTAGGCTCTATTTTGGTTATGCCTGTTAGTTCGCTCACCAGCTGTCAACAAATATATCTATTAGAGCTATTATGAAAGCACATATAGAACTGATACCTGTTGTCCCTAAAAATCCCACATTAGTGCTTTACTATTCCAAACAAAAGTCAAACTTGTAGTACAACAACTCTGTCTATATGGCAGAAACAACCTCGAGACAACAAAAATAGCAAACTAAAAGCGATAATAGACAAATAGATAACAGAAGAGGTCAATGGGGAAATATGAATTAGAAAAAGTTAGCGGAGAATTTCTTATATTTCAGGACAATCACTTATTACCGAAAATAATACAAAAGCTGTATAATTTGAAGTCTTACAGACGGTATTACTAACGAAAGACTCAAACAAAAAATGTCTCGAAAATTACAGAAATAAAAAACTTACCGAATAATTCAATGTACACTTCTTGTAGGGTATGTATACTACAAAATTGGTTTAGTTCATGATGAATTTTATTGTATATTAGTGTTTTATCATAATCAGCTGTATAATTCTTGACAATATCATGAACTAGAAAGTGAATGTACAACAGAAGAAACATACAAAAAATGGATTACATAATCAGATAGTTTTTCCACTAACTAAATATCTTTACGAAAACATTCTAAAAAATGTTTGTCGAAATTTCATATGATGACTAAGGCAGTCAATCATATCAATTTAGCGATTAGTGCATGAGTTCTGTTTTAACATGTATTACTTAAAATAATAACTGGTCAACACTCTTAACATAATAAGAGAGCAGTTTTTAAAATAACTCATTTGTGAAGGTTGTTTGAATCTTCTCGTTAATGGTAAGGACTGCAATTGATCATGGTATATATGAAAATTGTCTTGACAGTGCAGCTATCTAGAGCATATTAAGCAAAGTTGAATAGTAGTTAGCAATAGAATAGAGAGAGCTCCTTTCTTCCTATTTGTGACTTGTCAGTCGGATGTACTTGGAATCCGCACATAATGTACATATGTCAAGAGAGACTAATCCATTGCTTTTCTTAATATCAAAGGGAAGATTCATATCCATTGCACAAGTTACTGGCTATATTGATTCAGTAGCTACATGAATGATGCGTTGAGGACTTGAAGTGAAAGATACTGAACTGGAGTCCCGGTGTCAATACTAACACTGAGGTGCAAGCACATCTAGCTGATATCACAAACAGAACGAAATGGATGTCCTATATTCCACTGCTAACCACTATCTAACTCTGTTTAATGTTTTTTAAAATATACCAATCAATTAAACAGTAGTAAAATCCAAACACGTTATATGAGTAAAGGTGATTTTACATGAGATATAATATTTGTGAAAAATGCGATATTTGTACTAAGAGGAAGTAGAATATGTGCTAATGGTGTAAGATCAGAATAAATTAAGTAAAGCTATTTGGATAAATGGTTCAAGTTAGATGGACAGTTAACCATTCCTTTGTACTGAGCGTAGCTGAGTTTAGTAATACATGGAAAGCTTTAGTCGTTTTCTTTCCTTTATAACTGTAAAATCTTTCTGAATCAGTTTGATATTCTCAACATCAATTTGATCGTTGTTAATAAGCCACGTACCGTTATTACTTAGTGAATCTATAAATTCTTGAAGTCTATAGAACTATTAGGTTATTTTATGTGGCTTGAATGTACTTTAGCAAGAGTCAAAATTTCATGAGACGACTTTCTAAGTCATCAAAAATGTACTATTACGAAATTATTTATTGTTGAACCATAAATCAGATGCTATAGATTGATACTGTAGTTACACCTTATCACTACGGTGAACAGAACTCCGAAGAATCTTAAAACCGTATCATAATTATATTTGGAATGTCTTTCCAACTTTACTTATATCATTTGATAATAGCTTAGTGTAGGTTCACAAGAATTTACCAAGCTCATGTCTAAAAGCACCAAATCGATTAGCAGCAATTTACTTATGATTGATGGTTAGCAAACAACTAAACTGGATTGTTACTACATTTCAATAGATTTAAAACGTTAATTTTCTTAGTCGATTTAGGCAGTATAGTAAAACTAACTAAATTGGATCAGAGTCCAACACTGCTAAAAATACTTGAAACCCTTATGCATGCTGTGCATCTGTTTAAAGAGTCAAAAGATGTGCCTTAGATTCTCAATTTATTGAACAAAACAGACTAACTAGAAAAGTAAAACCATTGAACTTACCACTTTCAGCCGCCAAATAATTGACTACTTCAACACGATCAAAATAAATGACAACACCACCACTGGTGATATTAAGGAAAAAAGGAAACAAAGACAGACAATGATGATACACTAATTAATTTAATAGTACAGTAAAAATGAGTAAAAATATAAATGGACTATCGTCAGTATGTTTAACAATCCACGTATCGCATAGGAGTTAGGTAGACATCTGAAATCGCTTGTTTGTTAATTAAAACTGATGTAATGTAGTATGAATAAATACTGGGCAATTACAAGAGAATCTTCAGAGCACCTGAAAATTATGTATTATATTTATTTAAAATTGTACCTTCTACTTATGTGAGAATATATTATCTTAATTAACTGGAACTTTGGAGTTAACTACTACACATAAAAACATTACGCCTAGTGTTCTTTAGATTGAAAATAACTCATTATATAATAAAAATAACATACTTCAATCGGTCGTTAGATAATAACCATGATTATGCTTTAATTCGGTCATCATTTTAGAAAGAAAAACCTAGACTTGTAACAACTAATTAAATCAACTCGAGAATGAAAGCTTACAACAGCTTCAAAGTGTACACAAGTACTGGTATTTCAAAACAGACTAGTTTTCTGGTTACATAATGAATTTTAAACATAAAACTGGAAATGTACAACGAACAGAATGATATATTTTTCTAAGGAATGATCAGATGAACGTATATATGCAAACAATATGTAAACAGTACCATTTATGAGATCAATAAAAAAGTATTTACAAACCTTGTAAAATAAGACGTAGCGAAAGACTTTCCAATAGTGTTTAGAAATAGTAAAACAGAATGATTAAGTGGTTTTCACCAGAAAACCTTTCACAAGTAGTTTTCATCAGGAATATTTTATGTGGCATAAAAACAGAAATGATTCAGTCTTCCAAACCGTAAAATCTGAAGACGAGCGGTTGCTTCATTGGTAATAATTATATTTTACCGAAAGGCAATACTATTTATAGTAACTCCGAATCTTAACATATTATTCCTATTACTTACAATTATTAATAATTGATAAGCAAAACGATCGGGAGGCGTTATTTGCAATATAGTATCCTACCGCTCATTTTACAGCATGAAATGCGTTCCAATATATATATACCAGTCAGTAACAACGTGGGACTTCGCACGTACATATATCAGTTCGAGTTGCCATACAGCAATAGCACACAGAAAAAATTGTCGATTCAAATCCCATAGCGGTAGAGGTAGTAAAAGTATAGGCACTAATCGGAAACACTAGGATTTGAAGATGTTATTCAACGAGTATAATACAGTGAAATAAATTTGGAAAGCGAAAAAAAGGACATGAAGAATTCAGAAGATTAGAATTTTGGAGAACACAAAGAGTGGATACACCTGCGCCATTGCAAACGATTTTACATATCTCTAACGATCGGTTATTGTCGTCTCGTAGAACCTAACCAGGTGATCTACACCAACAAACATGGCTCAGTCTACTTGTCAGTAACTTCCTGGATTTGTGCAATGTTTTGGTCTGGCCACCCCTAGATTTCTTCCAACCTACTCCTACATCATAAAACATCGCACGTCGAGGCAGTCGGTGGTTGGACATACGTAACACATGTCACAGCTATCTCAACTGATAAAGTTTCACTACTCCATTAATTGATTTGCCATCCTTACCTAGTACCCGTTTCCTAAAAACTGTATTACTCGGTGGTCACAGGATACACAAGCAATGTTTCGAAGACACCTATGATGGAATACTAGTAACCTGCGAATATCCTCTACTCTTACCGGCCACGTTTCACTGCCATAAATTAGGACGGAACGAACTGCTGCGCAGTAAACATGTCCTTTAGTTGATAGACGGATATCTCGCCAATGCCATAAATGACGCAAGCTGGCAAAAGCTAGTCGAGCCTTCTGTATCCGTGCTGAGATTTCGTCACACACCAGACCACAAGGGCTAATGAGACTCCCAAGCAAATAGCTTAGAGTATGGTACAATAATTATGTCATTCAGGTTGCATTCTAGGAACGGAACACCAATATATTAAAGAGAGGATAATGGTCGGAGGAAAGCAGTATCGAATAGAAAAAACGCTGCATGGTAAATAAATACATGCCATCGTTATTGATTTCAAACTTAAAAATCTAATGTTTAGAAACACTGGTAACCGTTACGCCGATTAACTAAAATGAAAACTCTATAGTTTGCAAACCGGATCACAGATTGTCAGTAACTTAAGGAAAGATATTAACATTATTTTATTTTAATCAACTAAATGCCCTGGTACGGCCGAGGATGGGGAGAGTCAGCAGTCCCTCTCAAAATGCTCTCACATGGCCACGCGTATACGGCCACTGTCAGGGAAGTCCTACTCACTGCCTTCTCGCGGCACTACTGTTGTTTACGAAATTGAGAGGACGAAAAGCGAATGTCCGGCGCTTTAACCGGGTTGGTGGACACGGAGATTTCACCCAGATAAGTTGGAAAACCCTGATTTCAAACCAATGGTGCACATGGGCCCCACTACCTTGAGGGCACAAATGGCGTATGAACCAATTATTGGTCACCGGTTACCATGGGACTGCATCTCCTTACGATGCTCCACTGCTTTGTGGGTCAGACCTTTAAGTCGAAGGCTCCGGGTGTGGCCCCCTAAGAAAACCGCCTGCTTCGGTCTGGGTACACGAGCAGTATCACAGCCCACATACAAATCAAGTAACTTGTGTGGTGTACATGTATTCGGTGCCCCTTTGTATCAATATTTGTGTTCAAATAAATGAATTAATTCATTAACCAACCAAGAGTATGACATTGAATTCTAGATTTTTTGTTTTAGCTTTCATAGCTTTTTAACTGAATTTACCATCATGGTTAGACTTCAAGAGAAAAACGGAATACTAAGAAAATTTAGATTTCTTTTTTCAGATTTGAGTCTTATTTTTTATATCAGGTCGAATGATAATGCATATATATACGTACATAGAGCAAAGTTCGTAGCTATGACCTCAAATTTGTGAAGTTTGACCGCCAGACCTCAACTCCATCTTAAGCTGTTTTCCTAACGTAACTGAATTCGGTACTAATTACAACCAAAAATGTCTGGTACTACAGGATACCAGGTCACATAAAACATGAAATTTTCAAGGTCACACCATGACACCAAGGACAGTGAGGAATAAGATCTAAATAAAAACACAGCTAAGATGTACCTTAGTCCTCTATAAGCGTTTTTCACTATTTAAGAACATAAAATATTAATTATACCACGACAATAAACAAGCATGACCACCAAGTCAACGTGGCTGTTACGATTATAAGAATTAGTTGCAGCACATTTGAGAGGAGATGCGATAGTTCCTGAAGTATTCTGAGCATTAAAAATAGACAGTTCTTAAACCGTTAATACGTTGGTTAACGCTATTTACAGAATAGCGCCCACAGATGTTACTAGTTGGCTGAGATTCGAAATAGTATTAGGATAGCGAGAATCTTGGACATCAGTGCTCAATGATTAAATCGAGTAACACTTTGATAACACAGTTTAGCTTTTAGCTATATAAGACAAATCAAGATGATTAATTTTGACTAAATTACCTTGTACCACAAGGAACATCTTTTACTTCATCAGTTTGTAAAGTAATCTACCAAACGAGATATTCCGAAAAACTGTCATTCATACCTGAACAGGTTTGTATGTTGTTATGATGGGAATCATCAGATGATAACCGGGTCCGTTGGTCTGAGATAGTAGAGCACCACCACGGTAATAGACACCAACATGACCTGTATTTATAAATTTTTATTAGAGCACTAACCTTCATCGATTTGATGAAAAGACATTCCAAGTAAAATACTCCATACTGCAAGAACTGCTGCAAAAATTGGTAACAATGACTGGTAGTTATCCATCGCTAAAGCTTTCCTCTATAGTGAATGCACTTAGTCAAGTCGTCTAAAACAAAAACGTTAACTTTAAAAATGTGGAACGTGGCCACGTTGATTTATCGTTTGGAATAAAACACCACAAATCAAATTACAAATGCCATGACAAAGGTCAGTGTGGGAGAAATATCCTAATATTCAGAATAAATTTTACATTTCAAAAGACATTTCATAGTACCATGTTTTAACTTAAAATCTGGTGTGAACTTTAAGCAGTAATTTCGTGATAGGAGTTAGTTCATAGGACACAACAAAAACTGATGGAAGAACAGCGCTGCATTGTATTATTGAGCGGGTACTGTAGAGGTGATCACGCGTCCAATTAAATCATTAGACAGGAAGTGGTAGAATTAGTTTTCAGTCGCAAGATTTGGAGTGACAACAGGATGCATGACCTACTTTTATTATGATGTCGGTAGTGCACTAGGCATGTCTTATTTATTTAAACACATAAATATTGGTACAAGGGGGCACTAGATATATATGCGCCCTCTATGTAGTCTAGATATTGTGATTACTTGCCAGACAAATTTTTACAATACGAATAAAATTCAGTCAACGTAATGGTAACTCTGAACCCCTTTATTTTTACGGAACTTTCAGCGACTATTATTTACGCCGAAACATTTTCAGTACCTTCTAGAGTCTGTATATAATTCAGCCGTGAGTTTTTTTTAGACAGGACAGTTTGTTTTCAAGTTCATTTAGTCATCGCTTAGCAAACGAGTCTCTAAATTCGTAATACCTTTCTTTAGTTTTTATCTCACTAATTTATACTTTCTCGATTAGGATCTTCGATACCTAATATTTTATACTATCAATAACACAGTTACTACTCTTATCATATTAAGATTTGATGAGTTTCGTATTGCTATGCTAATGGAGCACGTCAACATGAGCCCTTCTACACATATGTCAGGTCCCACGTTTTGTATGACTGACTATTTGCTTAAATTACCAATAATCAGTTACATAAAGTAGAATACAACAAACTGACCCGTTAGTCATTAAAAAACATCTGATTAGCTCATTTACTGGGTATTTGGGCATGAGTGTGAGGGCTAATATTATTGTCGGGTTACTTAAACTGGAGTAGATGGAGCAGGGTTCGAACTCTGAGTTTAGCGACTAAACGTTCAGCGTCTTAACCAGTGAACCATCGATTAACGGGCCGCTTGTGAGTGCTTGTAGGACGTATAACAACGCGGAGACGATTCTGAAATAAATGCTGCGTTTTGTTTAGGGAGCATCATGTATACTGGAACTATAAACACACCCTCATGATATGTAAAGAAACATGTGATTCAAAGATTTTAGCAATGGTGGAGGATTTTATGGAACTCACTCTCGAATGTCGTTGACTAAACTTATTCTCAGAGTTGACTAAGAGCTACCTTTGTAGTTGTAGATCAATTCTTAACACTAACTGTTAGTCGAGTTCTTCTTTCACGATGTCGGAACGTCAAGTCGATAGATGGGAAAGCATTTGATTAACTGTTCACAAATATGAGACGAAATGTTGGCAAACTTTAGTTTGATTAACACTTAAATGTTCATGGTAGTCCACTTCGCAAATCAAACTTGGATTACTTCTAAATCAAGGCTGAGAAATCTCCGAACAAACATGAGTGATTCGTGATAATAAATGGAGAGAATCACAAGGGGCATGTTTTTTGACACAGCTAACGAAACTATATTTCAGTTTTGAAACATCACAGTTATAACTCCTTATATAAGGAGTGGCTAACAGAAGTAATCCGCGGAATATTTTTATGTTCAACATATTTCTCAATATACATTCTTTAAAATGAGCTTACTTTCACGGAAAACTTTATTCAAGTGTTGGGAAAGTTTGTTTGATTTTCAGTGAACTTGCAATTAAGTACACATGCCATATTAATAATCACCTGTTTCTTCTTTTGAAGATCTCAAATAACAATGAATTGGCAATTACAATGAAAATGAATGACAATTGACGCTCAAGCTTCTGCCATATGACAATAATGCTGTGTAATAATACGCTTTTTCTTTCCAATTAATTTATTTAAACATAAGCCATTTTTAAGCGGATTGCAGTTTCAGTGTGGTGTGTTGTGAGAATAAACGCTGACATGGGAGACCTTTGGGATTATGCAAAAGTATGTTAAGGCGAAAAGTAGACGATTCGCGCGTATATTTAGGCAAAAAGTAGACAGTTCCCGTTTGTTGGTTGATTGAGATGAGAGAAAAGTTTCTTATATATATACATATATATATAACCCATGTCAAACCTTAAATTGTGGCCATAAACTCAATCTTTAACTCGGATTCTATTGCAATCAGATATTACAGTGTAGAGATGTAATATCACTACATATTAAATGACAAGCAAGATGTACATTACAAAAAGCTTCAGTCATAACTGAGAAACACATGGATACCCTAATGTGTTAAAATGGATGCAGTTACTAAAAATTTACAATGGCGTAAGTGTAAAACCAAGTTAAGCTAACAACCAAAACTAAGGTTCGACGAGATTCAAATGTGTCTTGAAACTTATGATCAAGCGGAGAGGGATTAAGTTGACCTTCAATTATCAATATTCCCAATATTCTTATGAACTGACTGATTTCATTACACTGTATTATTGGTATTTCATTATTGTTCAGAATCCTGTGCAATGTCCAATGAGTGGAAGTTCAGCCACTTAATTTCAATTATCCTAACCAGTTTGTTAGTTATTTGTGTGTTTGTGAATTTTGCAATATAAGTGAGTGGGTTTGTCTCTGCACAGTAGACTTTCTGGAAACCGATGGCTGTCACCTGAACAGATAGAAGGTTGATTGGTCGCACAGCAAATAAATAATAAAGTGAAAATTCAAAAGCTTAGAGTTTGGCGACTGTCTCACGAACTAAATAAACATATTTATTAATTGGTAAGCAAGTAGTGTGAGAAGATCGAAGCGTAGGAACAAAAAGGAAAAGGAAATAATAATAATCATAGGCGGGATAGAAACAAGCTAATAATATGTGTTGATGATAACATATAGTAAGTTACTAGTCATCGAGAGATGCCACACATATTCAAGGTTTAACAACGCTCTTGTTCCCAACACCTTTATAATCGGAAGATACCAGCCTAATGAGATCAGAGGGCAGGGGTGAATGAGTTCGAAGCTTTTTCGGAAGAATGTCAATATGCTGAGAAGCGCATATCTAGGCTGGCTAACAGTTGCAAGAAATGAGTAGCACGGCGTACATACCCATGATTTGGTGAGGTTATGTGATCAATCGCATTTAGCTAGGTTGAGTCCAGAAAAATTAATGAGGTCAGCATCAAAGTTGGAGGCTTACAGATATGTTTATTTCGAGGATGTATTTACCGCTACACATCCACTAGCTACATCTAGTTCAAGAGGCAGGATGGTCACTCACGATTGTGTACGCGCCAGTCAAGTCCCCTTTTTACGCTGTCCGTTACGAAGGCTGTAATTGCTTCGGCTGTGAAAGCACTCTAAATGTGGCCAACTTCTAATGAGAAAGAAAAGGAGTGTATTGGGGTTTTCGTTCACTAATTACCATGTTTTCGAGGTCTGCTAAAGGATTGTGTTGGTGATGATCTAGTAAGTGACTTGATATACTCATTGTAATATGCCACAGTCACCTCACCACGTTTTCTACAGCAGCGCATTGAAAATAACTCCAATTGCTGGAGTCTACATTCGTAGCCCCATTACTCATTTACTGAGCATCATTACTCTGCCTACCACTATATACTTCCCGCCACGTTTGAAATGATTCATGTTTCGAGTGCCCAAGTTCTCGTTAGTTCTTTGTATTGTGATTTCCCCGCAAGCCCGCTTATCTCCCTATCGAGGGAATTAACTGTTTGTCACCGTACGTAGAAGTATCAAAATGCTTTAGATCGAATTGATTGTGGTTTGAGGTAGTTTTGTCAGCTCTGTATAAATAAACCTATGAGTCTTTCCTTGTATGGATAATTCAGTCAGTGATGATGGTGTCACTCTGATTTACGTTTTTGCAGAGACTTTTACGCCGATCATCCGTATAGACCTGTTACAACATCATAACCTACCCGTCGATACGTGTAAACGGAGCATAATAGATGGAAGCACTAAATTATCTGTTTCTTGAAATTTGTTATTTAGTTGTAGTTTATGCTAAGTCAGTATTAGCCATACAATTTATCCATATTTCCAACAATACTGAACAATTATCTCTTACTTTACAAAACGCGACGGAAACTATTATGTGCAACAAGCAATCTTACACACTACATCTCGATTCATGACCACTTGTATTTTCGGAAGCGTTCAAAAAGTAACTATCGGCGACTGAATGCATAGGTCACTCATGATCAATATCCATTGACTCACATTCGCGAATTGACAACTGACTTGAAAGATGCGACAATTTTTTTCGAAATTCGACACTGTTAAGGACTGTTACTAAATTCCCACGGCTGTTAACGACATTCATGTAAACACCATCATCACGAATTTTCGCTCAAACCTTCCGGTTTAGGACGTACTGCACGAACTCTCCGGAGAGTCATCGATGACGTATCTAGAGGCCTCACCCTCGTGCACGTGTATGCTGATGATTGCAGGATTGCACCTCCGGACAGTGCATCTCATTTGTAGTATCTGTGTCTTGTTTTCAGAAGTAAAACATATCAATGTTGATTCTTATTCCATACACATGGGCCTCTCATTTTCGATTCCCAAACCGGTAGTCATCAGTCACTACGAGACTTCACTACTATCTGGTAACCGACCCAAAACAACGAGCTCTGGGGGAAAAGTTTTCCAGAATACGTTGATGTCGCTTTGTTTCGTTAACCAATCACCTCGATAACAGTTATAATATAAATTTCAACGGTGTTTGAAATCAGAAGGTAATTCGAAGCCGCAACAATAGTTAAATGGCGGATAGCACGGATAACAAAGCTATAAGTGACACAATGGAAATAAAAGTTCATTTTCGAATGGTTTGATGATATCACAGGTATTCAGTGTTTGACAACGCTTTTACCAGCAACACCTTCTAATGTATTTCGTTCCCACCCAGGGAAATCAAAAGACAGAGTCGAAGAGATCGGAAGAGTGTATTTGGCGATGACCAATATATCGGAATTCTCTGATCTAATCTGGCTAGCGATTGCGGTTGATGTTGAGCACGGCGTTACCACACGTGATCTGGTGCGGATGCATGACCGAGCGCCTTCAGCTAGATGAGTCCACTAAAACATATGGTCAGCATCCAATGTCGAAAACTCAGGGCTATTTATTTTGGGGATTTATTTACCGCTACAGATCACTCCCCCCCTAGTGGGGCAGTGACGACCCTAAGACGTGGCCAGCCAGAAGTTTAAACCCAACGAGTTTGTCGTTGGTAAACACTCTTCTGATAGCTTACTAAATTTAGCAGCGTCTGGTCGTCTTTCCTTACTATATGGGACCGAGGTACAACATAGTAAAAAAAGAAAATGTACAATGAAAATTTCGGATCCTCATAAACGTCATCGTTCTTTTCCAGCCGTCCTGGAAAAGAAAAAAGAAAATGTAAGTGCATGTCGAAATACACTCGTATGTGCGTAAAAGCACAATGTCGGCGTAAAAAAATGGAAAATAAACTCATGAACACGTAATAGCGTTAAAAAATTGTTTTTTTTTGTTTTTGTTTTTTTTAAATAGAAATTAAAATATATAAGCATATTAAAATTGTTTTTTTTAAAAAATAATATAAAATGTCGAGAAGTGCCTTACGTGCAATAGTCGTTTAAATGTTCTGGAAATCTCACCCTTCCTCCAGAACGCGTCGTATTAAGTTTATTTTCGGATACTGTCGAAGTATCATCGTGTGTGTTGGTTGTCGGATGAGGTATTATAAGTGTCGGAGTCGTGTAGTTCGATTGTACCGAAGGAAAATCCACGTAGATAGGATTTCCTTCTAAATACGCTGCTTTTAAGCGATCGATACTGATGCTATCGTTGGTTCCGTTCTTATCGACTATATAGTACTTAGATTCACGTTGAAGAACTTTGAAGGGTCCTTCGTATGCTGATTCGAATGGTCGTCGATGCGAGTCTCGACGAACGAAAACGTGTGTACTATATCGTAAGTCAGGTTGAACGAAAACATCAGTTGATTGAGGTCGAGTGGAAGCAGGTTTAACTGAACGCATTGCGTTTGTAAGCCTGTTCGTGTAGGAGGTTGGATCCATGTTCATTGAAGAGGATGAAGGATCCACGAATTCTCCTGGAAGTCGAAGTGTCGTTCCATAAACTAGTTGAGCTGCAGTGTATTCAATGTCAGCCTTCACTGCATTGCGGATACCTAGTAAGACGAGTGGAAGAGCGTCGGTCCACTGTGAAACGTTTGCAGCTGATAGCGAAGCTTTCAGTTGTCGGTGAAAACGTTCTACCAACCCGTTTGCTTGTGGATGGTAGGCGGTCGTTCTGAAGCGAGTGATTCCTAAAAGAGTGGTCAGACGACGGAAAAGATCAGATTCAAACTGACGTCCGCGGTCCGTAGTGATGGTTGAAGGGCAACCGAAGTTTGCTACCCATCGTTCGACGAAGGTGCGGGCCACTGTTTCAGCAGTGATGTCCTTGATAGGTACTGCTTCTGGCCATCGAGTGAAACGGTCTACGCAGGTTAAGAGATAAGAGTATCCATTTGAATCTGGTAAAGGTCCTACCAAATCCAGATGAACATGGTCGAAACGAGCATCGGGAGTTTTAAACGAGCCTAAGGGACATTTATTGTGTCTGATAACCTTAGATTTTTGGCAGCTTACACAGGAGCGTGCCCACTCCCTCACGTCTTTATTCATTCCAGGCCAGCAAAACCTTTCTGCTATAAGCTTGATGGTTGCACGAACACCTGGATGCGAAAGTTTGTGCAGTGTATTGAAGACATTGCGTCGATAATGTTTCGGCACGATTGGGCGATCCCTACCTGTAGATGTGTCACAAAGTAAGGTTTCCTTACCTGTTCCCATCTGTTTGATGCGTAGTTTAAGTGTTGCGGACGATAACTCGTGCTGAAGATCACTGTCTTCTTTTTGAAGCTCGGCGAGTTTAAGAAGGTCGATTCCTTGGAAACTGTTCAAGGAAGTTATGCGAGATAAAGCGTCTGCAACTACATTGTTTGCTCCAGAGATGTGTTGAATGTCTGAAGTAAACTGCGAAATGTAGTCCAGTTGTCGAGACTCATGAGGTGAGTACTTGTCAGAAGGAGAGCTTAACGAGAAAGTGAGCGGTTTATGGTCAGTGAAAAGAGTGAATTCACGACCTTCGATGTAGTGTTGGAAATGCCGTACAGCACAATACATAGCTAGGAGTTCCCTACCGAATGTGCTGTACCTCGATTCGGTGTCTAGCAACCTTCTAGAGAAAAATGCCAAGGGTTGCCAGGAGTTGTTAACCCATTGTTGTAAGACTCCTCCGATTGCCGAGTCGGATGCGTCTACTGCGATGCTAATGGGTGCTCGGGTGTCCTGATGTGCCAGCATTGTTGCTTTAGCAATCAGTTCCTTAACTGTGGAGAATGCTTTTCGTGCGGTGTCGTCCAAATTAATGGATTTCGCATTTCCACGAAGTTGGTCGGTCAGAGGTTTCATAAGTAATGCGCATTTCGGTATGAAACGTCTATAGAAACTTACCAGGCCGTTGAACGTGCGCAATTGCTTGACGGTGGTCGGTTCTGGGTAATCCAGAATGGCCGCCACTTTGGTTCTAAGGGGTCGGATACCTTGAGCATCGATAGTGTGTCCCAGAAAGTCTAATGAATCGGTTCCGAATTGGCATTTCTGAACGTTTACAGTAATGCCATGTTTTTGTAGTCGTTCGAAAACAAGGTCCAGATGCTTGAGATGTGATTCTCTGTCCGGACTTGCGATTAGACAGTTGTCAACATACGCGTGTACGAAGTTGAGACCTCGAAAAACGTCGTCTATGAATCTTTGGAATGTTTGAGCAGCATTCCTTAGACCGAAAGGCATTCGAAAAAATTCATAGAGTCCGAAAGGAGTTATGATAGCTGTTTTCGGTATATTGTCTGTAGCCATATGGATTTGGTTATAAGCTTTAACCAAGTCGATTTTCGAAAAGAGAGTTGCACCTTTCAAGGTAACTGTCAAATCGTGAATGTGAGGCAACGGGTAACGATCGGGAATGGTTTTTGCATTAAATCGCCGATATTCACCAGTTGGATGCCAATCGTTGCTGTCCTTTTTGGGGACCATGTGCAACGGAGATGCATATGGGCTATTTGACGGTGGTATGATTCCTAAGTCCATCATGTGATCGGATTCGTTTTTCGCTAACCTTAGCTTTTCAGGAGCTAGTCGTCGTGCTTTAGAGAATACAGGTGGTCCTGTAGTCGTGATGTGATGTGTAACGTTGCTGGTTACACACGGTAGTTTCGGTTGAGTTTGTTGTATCCCAGGGTACTTATCGAGTAGTGGTTGATAAAGTGGATCTGTCGTATCCTTAATTGTGACTGGGGATAATCTGCAACCAGAAAAAGTTACGCAAACGGATAAATTAGTGTTTCTGTCTACTAGCCTCCGCTTGCAAATATCGATGATTAGATTATGGTGTTGTAGAAGGTCCATACCAATGATTGGCATAGAAACATCTGCAATAACGAAAAACTAGTGGATGGGTTTGCGCAAACCCACGTTAAGGTAAACGTACCTTTTGCCATACGTAGCGATCGGTTTTCCGTTTGCCGCCTGTAAGTTAAAAGCCGATTCCTGAAGCCGGTCGTCAGGATTTGCTGGGAGAACGCTAACTTCTGCGCCAGTGTCGACGAGGTAGCGAACTCTCGTTGTCACATCTGTGACGAATAACAGACGGCTTTGTTCGCCGGCTACGGTTGCCGTTAACGCGTGCCGGCTTGGAAGTTTCCCGAGTTGTTTTTCGAGTCACTCGGTTTCGTGTTGGGAAAATTGCAGGGTTTTCTGCAATTTCTGGAAAACGTTCCATACTGGTTATGATACCAGCACCAGTCGGGGTTATCTGTCTCTCGTGGTTTAGAGATAGATCGCTTACGTGAAATGTTTCTACGTGGAGTTCGCGATCTCTTACGGTCGGTACGAAGACTAAGATAACTCGTGAGTGTATGACATAAATCGGTTATATCATTCTGAGTCGTTTGAGGTTTTTCTTTGACTGAAAATACCTCGGTAGTAGAATGTTTCGTAATTTCTAAAATGCGGTCGGCAGATGCAGCTAGCTCGTCTAAGGCGTTGTTCTGGAACGAGACCAGAACTGCTTGCACCTGTTGTGGAAGTTTTGACAAGAAGAGTTGTTTGAATAGACCTTCGTCGAAAGTTCTTGGGCCTATTACCTCTCTCATCCGCTGCAACATGTCTGTCGCAGAACCGTGTTGCAGGTCGATGTTATTGAAGAGTTGATCTAACCTTTGTCAATCGGTTAGGTCTCCTCGTTTAAGAATCGAGCGTTTCAAGGTTTCGTAAGGTTCGGAAACATCACTAGTAAACATACTAGGTGTTACGTACCTGTTGAATTCGCGCGGTAGTGCCTTGACTACTGCGAGGAATTGTGCACGTGTGTCTATCACGCCGTGCTCGTAGAAGTCGGCTTCTGCGTAGCAAAACCAAGCTTCGATGTTGTCGGGCCAGAAAGGCATCAGTTGATACGAAGGTGGGGACAAGGTCTTAAGCTTGAGTACTTTAGGTGTCTGTTCAGTCATGATGAAATATGAAGTATGATAATGAACGAGGGGAAAAAATATATATATCCAAGAAAAAATACGAAAAAAATCACAATATTTAAAAAAAATAAAAAATAAGGCAATGATATATAATAATCCCAAAAAGGAACAGACTCACAGTTGCAATAAGGTGTACCAGATCACGTCGGGCTCACCAATGGTGATGTCACAGGTATTCAGTGTTTGACAACGCTTCTACCAGTAACACCTTCTAATGTATTTCGTTCCCACCCAGAGAAATCAAAAGACAGAGTCGAAGAGATCGGAAGAGTATATTTGGCGATGACCAATATATCGGAATTCTCTGATCTAATCTGGCTAGCGATTGCGGTTGATGTTGAGCACGGCGTTACCACACGTGATCTGGTGCGGATACATGACCGAGCGCCTTCAGCTAGATGAGTCCACTAAAACATATGGTCAGCATCCAATGTCGAAAACTCAGGGCTATTTATTTTGGGGATTTATTTACCGCTACAGGTTTACCCTTACAAGTCTTATTCAACATTACTTCCATTTCGATTCAGTGTAATGATTACTCAATGTTGTATGTTTTTTGTTTTCCCGTATGATATTTTATTCTGTGTAATATACGATATTCTTGTATCCAATGGATATGAACTTTGTTCAGTATGTGATTTTATATCTATGTGACTTCATCCTAATTATTAATCAAAATGGGTGTACAATCAATATATAAATGAGTGTTTTTTCGACTAGGGTCGTCGTTGTCGTGTTTTGGGGTTAATGAATCTTCACTTATACCAGTTTTTGTGTTCTTGCTTTCGCGTTGTGGGAATCGCAGAGGTTCCTCGTTTTTACAATTATAAGCCAAAATCAATTTCGACATAGCAATCAGCGACGACCCGATAGCATTCAACTGACAAGTTATAACAAAAAGCGCATCAAGTAAATTTAAAACAGACATGTGGATATGTATATGCCAGCAAATACAGAGGCAAATTTATAGTCAGATCGTATAAGCGCAGAGCAAAAGCTAGTAGCAGGATTTGAGTACATACATACATGCGGAGGAGGATGAATCATTGAGAGATATTTATACAAACAACATTTTAGCTAGAGTCTGGCATAAGATCTGGCGAGCATAACAGTGCAAAAAAGTAGACGGGTTGGTACTGTTCTAATGAAACTTACTGTTAATTAAGTTGAAAAAAGACTTAATCAAAATTAATCAGAATCGAAACTAGTTATAGGACAGCTGTACAACTTAGACGACAACCGCTATTAGGACACTGTGTAACATTTTATTTTACCTGTTTTGTTTGTGTTGTTGAGTCGAGAAGCAAACACTTTTTGACATGCCCAGTCATTCGTCTGGTCATGTATCCGCACCAGATCACGAGTGGGTACTTTGTCCTATATATTCTTGGTAACCGTTTTCCACCTTAGACAAAGTGCTTCTCGACACACCGATAGCTTTCCACTTATATGCTCGAAGCCCTTCATTTTTGACATCTGAGTTGACTGGGTTAATTTACTTTGATTATAAAGGTGTCACCTGTAAAGGCGTTGTCAAACTCCGAATACCTGTGGCATCTTCATAGTGATTTCCAATTCTAATCTGTATACATTCATCAAAACCCGGAGACGCTGGATGTGTAGAAAATGACCGATCAATTTCGATCCAGACGAATTTCTACGTCACTGTATTTCTGTTCAATGGAAATGACTACTTGCAGGAAATTTCAAGAGGTTCGTAATTATTTAAAATATGCCCGCTTTTTGTTATTATTGTCTGGTTGCCAAGAATTTCATACTTCGGATATTTATTTTTGAATCAGCCAGTAATCGACCGGAATTTTTCGGGTTTGTTTTTAGCTTGTCCCTAGACCATAAACAAACCACCACACGCTTGTTGCAAATAATAGAAAACTTCAGACTGAGTGATATATACTGAATGTAACGGAAAGAGGTACGATTATTTACTGCTGATGCTTCGAATTTTGCGTATAAAGGTGGACAAATCGAGTTTCCACTACCTTTAGTCGATGCATTCAAATAGAGTTTGAGTCACACAAAAACGCAGATCTAGCAGAATAATTTATTTGTTTCCATTTTACCTACCTAATTATTTTAATTCCTTATTTTAATTCCTTTCTTGTCTCCTTTTCAAGTAGAAAGTTTTTTCGGTTTGCACTAGTTTGTTATCAGATTATTGGATATTGTAAGCGAAATTTTAAACAATATCTTCATTTTTATATGTTTTCGGGTTGTTTTGAATCGTGGTTTTGTTGAGCAATTAACTTTCTGATAAGGTTGGTTTTCATTAGCTCACATCCTCAGAGTATTTTTCACGACTTTTTATCTATTTTTTTGACTGTCAAGCGACATTATATATATTTTGTTTTCAGCAGTCCGGCCTTTCTTGAGGAAATACACAAACGTTTGGCAAATTTTCTTCGATCTGGAGAAATTTTGAGGTTTTTGTGCCATGTTATTCGTTTAGAAAATAATGGGGAAATGCGCTAGGATGTCTTCTGTCCTTGGTGCGGAATTTCGTTTCGTCGCTGTGTTTGAAATTTTTCGCCCAATTACTGGCGTAAAATTTTACTACACATTTGATCGTCCACCTCATAGTCCAACGCCAAATATCTCATATATTCGTTTCAAATTTCATAACAAACCACACAACGACCGCAATCGACTACGTTAGAAGAGTGGTACATGGGTAAATACATGTACTGACAAGCAAAAATTACCATACTGTATAGGGATATTCATAATGGACAGATGCTCGAGTAATGATCGTTATGTATTTTCGTCGTAAGTACCTAGTCTTGATGTCATTTATAAAGATTCAGAAGATAAATCATGGATAATGGGTTATATGTAAAGAATGTATTGTCATTTATAAGTGCATATGAAATTAAACAGGCTTACTTAACGTATACTTTGTTCTGAAATTTCAAATGCCAGTGAGAAATTCACCACACGGTAAGAAAGCGCTTTAACAATAACTAAGTTAAACATAAAAGAACATTTCAATTACAACGTCTTCTTAAACTTCAATGTTAGTATCGCCAGCCGAAATAATCTTCTTATGAATTCTGAAATTTAATGAACATGAACATTTACAACAAATTCAAACTGCTGTAATTTGTTAAAAAAAAACTGTCGACTTGAAGTATAACTTACGGTTATGTTCGCTAATACTGAACAGTACCTGTAGAACAGCAGTGAATAGTTATAAATTCAAATCAACACATGTATGTTCTTGTTTTCGTCGATGACGTTTCTGTATTTTATCTCATCGTGAAAATATTCTTGCGTTGCGATATCATACAGTTTAGAAAGCTGTCTTTTTTGACGAATAAAAACAAGAACCGATATGTTGATGCACCTAATGGTTAGAAAAAAATCCTTACTTCGTATGTTGCCGTAAAACCCGCACTTCCAAGGTGCTCTTTTTGATGAAGTTCCGAGTAATGTAAAATGACTGGCAACTCCAGGTTTCATGACATGACAAAATATAGCGCGTGGACGTAATCAGATTGTCATCCGTTAACCGCATCAGCATGGCCATCTGGGATGCGAATAAATAATCCCATGCAATTTGTTGACTTACAAATTTATCCCTCATATCTTTTTGCTGAAGATATGTGTCTAACTCTCGCAGTTCCTCTTCACATGATAAAGTAAACTGCAAACTTGATAGTCCGATATAAAATTTCTGTAGATCTTCACACCCATCAGACTAAGTCATTAGCTGCATAATGTTTATCCGATTTTAAGCATTTACTTCAATCGGATACGTGACTTATTCGGTCGCTAACGCTGTGCTTACACGCCTAGACTCGGACGTTAAGGGCAACGCAACCAACTGTGTCGAACTAGTTTATCAACATCTTTGAAGAAAACAGGCCTACTTGGTAACTGGTGAGACAAAAGTGTCCAGCAACCAAGATTTAGGATATTGAGCGTGATTGTTTCTAGCCTGCATCTCACCCACATCCGTGTCAATGGAATTGCACAGAAACCCTTTTTTCCGTTTTAATGTACATCTTTGAAATATTAATAAGATTACTGTACTGAACTCTTCGGTTTCTCTTCGTTTAGTGACAAGATGTTTTCGTCCGTAAAACTGCTGACACGGTACCCAGCCAAGTTGTTGAACGAAATTAACACATCATTTTCAGTCTGAAAAGTATCTATAGGAAATGATCGTTTTTATGTTTGTAACTCACCACAGTAGTAGATGACCTTACACTTCAGGACTGGCCAGCTGTCATCTGGTTGAACACTGTCTTGCAGGTGCATATCCACAAAGTCCATAGGATGGAGAAAACGTCCTTTGCCTACGATCCAATGTTCAGCTGCAGTTAGAACCTGCCTCCCGCTTGGTGCGTCGATAGGTACGATTTGCTGATTAGTCGGCTAAACAGTAAATAAAAGGTAATGAAATGGTTTAAAATAATACCATCAGCAGGAATTAAAAAATATATTCACACGAACGTATGTAGCAATGAAAACTTACACTATTAACACAGTTAACGGCAATACATTTACAGTCAACTTCCTTAATGGAAACCCACATGTACTGATGACTAACTATCGAGCACATAAATATTCATATGCCACGAAAAGGGAATGGTTCAGCAAGATAATCATGTGGGTCTGTGAATGGTCTAGATTTCATTAATCCGCTTTCCCATATATCAGTGACTAGCCTAGGCTTTCTATGTGCTATTGTTACAGTATCCAGCTTAAATGAAGTTATTTTAGTGCTCATAAGCACAATTACTTGTTCTTCGGGGTCAGATTTAACGACTGTTTGTAAATTAGTGGCCGAGATTCGAATTCACCAATAGTTTTCGCAACATCTTACTGCTCCTTCATTTTAATACAACAATTCCCGGTCACAATGTCGTAATGGTAATATTATTCAATCTTCATTGTGAGAAACATACAAGTTCAGGTTTGTTCATTGAGGAAAAAAGCGACAACCTTTCTGATTCCTTTTCTAGTAAGCTCCTGTAGTTGCTCTTTCTTTTTCCGAATGGATCAATTCAAGGTGCTACCACCATTTCTCTCAATTTGTTAGGGAAACGTGTGTCACGAGTATTTTACTCGTTTTTGGCCTTCAAACTGGCATGTTATGTTCTCTGAGCTGTTCTAAACCAACAGGAAGGACTGAGTGAATACTACCAAAAGTTTGCCGTCGTACATCCGACACTCCATCTGCCTGCTGTACAAACAATAGAAAATTTAACTGCAAAGTTTATTTCCATAATTCGGTTTATAGCATCAAATAAGAATTCAAAAATTAAAATAGAAGAAATACTTTGACAGTGTGTTTGGTTAATTATGCATAGAGAAATTAAATTCCGACATTTACTTTTATAAGCATTCAAATATCATAAAAATAAAATCATTTAGGATACATTATTCAATTTTATCGAACTATTGTCTTTGTTTACCCCGGATTCAAAAGGTTTAATTACAACTGCAGGATAAAACTATGTGATTACTTATTATTATAGTTTATAACTGCTCCTCTCCTTTCATATAAAGAACCATATATGTTATATGCTCACGATTTACCTAGCAAATAGATGGATAGTATTTTCAAAAACACTTTCTCAGTAAATAAACTTAAAATTTTATAGTAGGTTAGATATTTATGTGTTCAAATCTTTATATAGATGGAAATATAGTTACTAAAATTACTTTTAATCCTACTGTGATAGTTTTTATTAAAATCGATAAATATTTAGCTAATTAATGCTGTTGCGTTTGACTTTTAATAGAGTGATTTTATTCATATTTCCTTAATTTCTTCACGATCAAACTGTTACATATTTTCATTTTATATCTCTTGTATTCTTAACTAACATTTTTCTTAACTAGGTATAACGGCTTTCGGTCCACAGCACCTCACCAGTCCTCTCGATACTCCGAACATGGCTTACTAGTGAGTGCTAAAGTGCATAAAATCTAAATCCAGAGCTTCTTGTTGATATTATTTAGCCGTCTAATAGTTAGGGTTTCTGTTCTAACATATATTGTAAAACTTGGGAGTTCGTCTAGTAAACGTTGTTTGATAAAATAATGCAATGGTAGTTATCCGGCTTCGAATAAATTTTATGACCTTGTTTATCTCAAAACTAAACCATATAAACTGTTATGTACGAATTCTCCTTTTTGCTACTAAGACTTTCTTTTAACTGGACTTCCAACTATTTACCCATATACTGCTCTATAAACATTATGTTAACATTTCAGTAGAATTTAAATATAAATTTACCAAGATATAGTTGATATGTAAAACAAGAGAAACATTTGAAGTTCATGTTTTATTGAAATATGTTAATTGGCAGAATTTGAGATTTAATAAATTTTTGGTTGGCCAATATTTTTGTTAGTGACTTCGTTGTATGGTGTATTTCTTTCATATTTCGCTAGGTTTTCTACATATTTCCACTCTTCAGCTCCTATGCCCCTCATCACTCATTTGTTTGCTTATGCATTTGAAACTTTTTCTACAATAATCAGTCAGACTGATTCTATATTTATAAAAAAACATTGATTCTTTGTTGCTTAGCTTATTAATAAAGATAAACGCTTTAGTAAAATTTAAAAGTTTGTCTTAAATCTGGTTGATACTTACGTTTAATCGTAAGTTTCATGAGTAAAGCTCGTTTTAAAAAAATGAATTAAGTAATTTTGTGGAGAATTCTATAGAATTTAGAGGTAGTTATCACTGAAAACTAAAGTCAGCAAGAGGACTATTATTAACCATATATAACCATGGGTCTGGTAAACTCTAAATTACAACCTTAATTAATTTCTAAATGCTGTTGACGAAATAAGTAGATTAAATATGATTTCTGAAACTGAGAGCTGAACTGAGATGTTTATTTAAAAGTAGTTGTACAGAGGAATAAACTAATAGTATTGTCATTAGGACTACCAGTAGTAGTAATGCTAATAACAATGTTTGTCACTACTTCATGCAGAAGAATATTCATTTATATTACACACCTAATTTAACGAAGGAAAAGAATTAGTGAATCAAATACACAAAACATTTTGCCAGTTTCAAATGCTTCATGTTTTCAAATATGTAAGTAATAATTACATTTGAAATATGATGTATCTTTTCGTAAGAGACTGAAAATAGTGGATACAAATGAATGTAAAACTGTTACTTCGCTTTAACTTGAGTTCCGTCAGAGGCAAGCAACCACTGTCCTTCAATATATCTAAATTTTCGAACAAAAATACAGTTATCTCCTGATCAATAGGTCATTAAAAAACTGAAATATAGACATATTTTATGAAGCTGTATAAATTACTATTGAAAAGAACACTAATTAAAAGATGAGTTTTTCTTGCATAAAACCAAAATAAGATGAAAATAAAACAAGGTATATATATTGTTCATTGTCTACTGCTTTCCTATTTGTCAAACACATTCTTTCTTTAGACAATTTTAAAGCTCTAAAATATTTTGTTTTTTATTTCACATTGAAAAACACCCAATAGAATCCTGAGAATTTTTGTCGAGTTCCTCATAATATTATAAAGTACATCTGTTGTATTACATTTACCTATGTAAAATGTTATTCACTTTTACCTATTTATTCGTTCCATTATTCATAAATACTATAATGTCTAAATGTCCAATTACTTTTTTACAGAAGTCGAATTTATTTGTGAAATTATCTGCAGATTTTACGTAATGGCAACTGATAAATATATTCTCACTGATATAGATAAAAAGCAGGTTGATAATAATGGAAATGAGAAATTTATAGTTGCTATTGATCAAGGTACAAGTAGTTCAAGAGTGATTATATTTTCAATCAACAATGGAAGTATAATAGCTATGCATCAAATAAGTGTAACACAAAGTTATCCGTCACCTGGATGGATTGAAATGGATGCTAATCAGATTTATACAACAATTCTAGAATGTTTAAATAAATGTGTGGAACAATTAAAATCAGTAGATAAAAGTATTAAAGTAAGTGTATGTTAGATTTTATATAATTCGTTAATATGCTTCAATCTATTCTATATATTATATTTAACTAAATTCATCAGTGTAGTTCTAGTATCTTAGCAGTACATAGAGTTAATCAATTATTAAACTTGATTTTAATGAACATTTAAAGGTATTATATTTTAGGTTTCCGTTGTATAAAATCTCTGTATTTTGTTTTCGTGACAATCTATGCTAATATTTAAAAACAGCTTGTCATCTGAGGTTAAACTAATACTTGTCCAGACACCAAAATACTTGTTGTTAAATACTGTAGCTTAAACTTAGTTTGTGAACGATTGGCATGACTGTTGTGTAACAACACTAATAATGTATATATATGAACCAGTCATAGAATGAGGTGAAATATAATAGTGTTGTACTTTATAAGCACTGTAGTACTTCGGTCAACTAAATGTATCTCATTTCATTAACTTAGATTTTATTATCGTCTGACGATAAATTTAATTACATACCCGGATTAACTGAATTAGCGTTGAAAACCAAAGCTGTTTCATCGTTTCGGAACTTATTAGCACAAAACATTGACTTTACATGAGATCCTACCTAGTATCTTTTTCTTGATCTATAAAATCAACAAAGCTACAGTTCAATGAATTAAGATCACATATTAAAGGAGCTTACTAAAGCTAAAAAGTGGTCGCTAAATGCTAGCTCAGTAGTCTAATATAAATCCAGGCTATCGAGATGACTAAATGTCTTGCGTTTGTACTTTTGTGTTATGATCTTAGTTGCAAAGGAGACCTGGATTATTGTGTGGCGATCGCTCTGTACTTCATATTTTTAAATCATCCAGCTGATATCAATTCGTGATTTAAGCTATTCTCGATTTAATCGAGAATAAGGATATGCTCCACGTTTTATTGGTAAAGGGTAAAAAATTATAATCAAGGAAATTCCTATAATTAATTAAGAAATGAAGAAATTGTTTATTCTACCTTCTTGTTAGCAGCGAATAAACAGTTTTCTCTATGAAAAGTACATATTTCAAAAGGATGTCAATCTTTTAAAATAGAAAAGTTGATAACATTTTCCATTTTCTTGTCGGCATTTTCATCTAACGATCTATACTTATGAATACGGTTAATTAATGGAACCTGAATATATCATACAGAATTATTGTAATGTATTGTGCAAAGTCAGAGTGCTTGAGAAAATCGTCAGCATCATACGGAACACATGCTATGGACTACACTGTAAAGTCCTGCATAGAGGACAGCTGACAGATGCGTTCCAAGTGATGATTGGTGTCAGGCAGGGCTGCCTACTCTAACCCTTTCTCTTTATTCTGGTGGTTGACTAGATTATGAAAACCTCCACATCTGACTAGAAACACAGAATAAAATAGACAGGTTGGATGCAACTAGACGATTTGAACTTCGCAAATAACCTAGTTCTTCTATCCCGTACACACGAACAAATACAAGCCAAAACAACCAGTGTAGCAGTAGCCTCTGCATCAATAAACCTCAACATACCCAAGGGAAAAGGCAAAATCCTTAAATGCAACATGGGGCACGCCAGCCAAATTACACTTGGTGGAGAAACTCTGGAAGAGGTGGAAAGTTCCACGTATCTGATTAGCATCATCGATGAACGTCGAGGATCTAATGTAGACGTAAAGGAGAGTATTGACAAAGCAAGGGCCACATTCCTAAAGTCGAAGAATACATGGGACTCAAAGCAACTGCCAACCAATATTAAAGTCAGAACCTTCGATACGAATGTCAAGACTGTTTTACTCTACGGAGCTGAAACATGGAGAACTACTACAACCATCATCAAAAAGGTACAAATCTTTATGAACAATTGTCTACGCAAGATACTTAATATCCGTTCGCCGGATGCCATCAGCAACAGCCTTCTGTGGGAGAGAACAAACCAGCTGGAAAGAAAATTACGAAAAGACTCTGAAAGTGGATAGGACACACATTGAGGTGATCCTCAAACTGCATGACAAGGTAAGTGCTAACTTGCAATCCTGAAGGTAAACGAAAAAGAGGAAGGCAAAAGAACACACTGCGTCAAGAATTGGAAGCAGATATAAATAGGATGATTAGCAACTGAAGAGAACTGGAAAGACTTACTGAGGACGGATGTGGATAGAGAATCAGTCAGCCAGTCAGTCGGTTACAATATAGGACCAGGCACATAATATGCATCCGCCACACCTCATTAGAGCAAGATAAACACCAAATTTGTATGAGTAGTCACTTCAATGGTAGCAATATATAACAGAAAGATTGCATATATCGGTATAATACAGGAAGAAAGAAATACTTCGTAGAAAGAAAGGTATAAAGTAATTTTTATCTCACAGTATAAGGGAAGGCAAATAGTGTATACACCTACGCCATCGTGATCGATCCCGAGCCATGTCAAACAGAGTCTCCAACCATTGGTTACGATAGTCGCGTGGACCTTAATCAAGTAGTCTGCATCTACCAACATGTCTCAGACTAGAGGTTAGTGACTTCAAGAACTGATGCCACGTTTTGGTTTGGCCGTCCCTAGCTTTCTTGCATCTGTCTCCAATACCAGGTAGCATTATGCGTCGTGGTAATCGGTGGTTGAGTATACATAACACGTAACCCAACCATCTCAGTCGATGAAGATTCACAACCTCATCAACTGATTTACCATCATTCCCTAATACCCTGTGTCTGTCTAACCTCACTATTACTTACCCGGTGATCCCAGCAGATGCCAGCAATATTTCCAAGGCATCTGTGGTCAAATACCAGTAGCTTACGAGTATCTTCTACTCTTGATGGCCATGTTTCACAGCCGTAAAGTAGAACGGAACGAACTGTCGCGTAGTATACTCGTCCTTTAATTGATAGACGGATATCTCGCCTTCTCCATAGATGACATAAGTTGGCAAGAGTTAAACAGGCTTTCTGAATCCGTACAGAGGTTTCGTCAGACACTAACCCATGAGGGTTTATCAGACTTCCGAGATAAGTGAAGTTGTTGAGGCGTTCGACTACTTCACTCCCTATCCTTAGTTCAGGTGTTGACGCAGGCCAGTCCTGAAGCAACAACTTGCATTTAGAGGTGAAGAAACGCATCCCAAACATCCTGGCATTGTTGCTCAGTGCTACGAAAAGACTCTGCATTTTATCAGCGTCTTCACCGAACTGGACTATGTTACCAGCGCATTCTAATTCAATAAGTGGGTCACCTGATATCAGATCAACGCCCAAAAATTCGATTAACGAGAACGTTATTTTCATCACTATGTCTGTGATGAAGTTGACCAAAAATGGAGATAGTGGACAGGCTTGCAGGACACTACTTGAGGTTGCGAAATCAGATGATAGTTCGCCGTAAGCTCTGACTCGACTAGTAGTGTTCGATTTAAGAGCCCCACCAAGGTTTGTGTACTTCTGAGGTACGCCTATCAATGGCACACACTGCCACAGGACCTCTCGATCTACTGAGTCAAATACTGCTATTGAGTCAAGTAAAACTATCATTGTCGGATGCAATATGGTCTATTTGAGTCCATCGTTGATTTGATGCAGGGTCTTCATGCTAGACGATATCTCTCCTTATGCTTAAAATTAGTGCTTGTTAGAAATAAATGATTGTCTGAGCGCAATTTTAACAGGAGGTCACCATTATCTGTTCGTTGAGCTAGAATACTAAAATACCCACCTAAATGTTTTTCTGATTTGTTTAAGCTACCTATCTGGACATTAAAGTCAGCCCCTACGAATACCATGTCTGAGTGTTTAGCTTTATGAAGAAGTTCAGAACGCTTTCTGCAAAAGTTATCTTTCACTTCATCCGGGCTGCAGTCAGTTGGGGCGTAGGCAGAAACGACGAAAAGTCAACGACTTGTGTCCCTATCATTCCTAGTCCTTAAGGAGCCATTTAGATGAACAGCACATAGACGACTGTTGACGGGGATCCATTCTAATAGTGCTTGTTCTGCCCTCGTACTTAATGCTATGCCTACACCCCCCAGTCCACGAGAACGAGCCATCGGGTCGCAAGATATACAGAGGGTGTATCTCGTCGGCTCTCCGTTTTGCCGAGGTGAGGTCAAGTGAATAACCACACTAGGATCCTGTTTGCGTATTCTGGAGACACAGCATACATCAATGGTACGAGATTCGAGGGTTTTAGCCAAGGAGGCCTGAAGACCGATTTGACATAGGATGCGTAAGTTGAAGACTCCAATGTGTAGTGTGGAGCGAAGTTTCAGTAGACCTGGGACAGTGTTTTGAGCACTAGAATCGTTGGTTATGGTGACACTTGAGGTGGAAGCCGAGAGAGGAAGTTTAGAGTTGGAAGTCGATGTAGGAGGAATAACAGGAATTGAAGATGGAGGTTGATTATGAATACAGTGGTCGTGAGTGCTGTTAGAAGTATGAGAGCGGTTATCACTTCCCAGTTACCCACACCGTGGGAAGGTTCTTCCAGAGGCACCTGGAAAGGAAATTGGGTTAGAGCTGAACTGAGTGACCAGAGAGCGTGACCGCAGTGTTTAAGGGACAACTGATTGAAGCCGGTCACACACGACCTTTTGGTGAGTAATTTTCGTGTTAGCTCCGTACTTGTTGGGACTTAACCGTCGGATACGGAAATTCGTGGGATAAGGTGAGGTGTGCATTTTTAGTGTCGAACTTTGTTAATCTCACTATCTCTTTGTAGCAAGGCAGCATTGCTGTCATACTGGTTGTCCGAGTGAAATATCTAAGTGCTGTTACATCTCCGTACAGTCAGCAGTACGACTTCGCCGTCGGACCATGGGTTTGCTGCTTTTAGTCTTACCGTTCTTCAACCGACCTGTCTGGCATGGTAGGACCTTGAGGAGCGGTTGTTCCAGATAGTATAGTTCATTTGGTTCATCACGATAAGGAATTCCGACCATCACTTCAAGATAGCTGTAACGGTTGGACGTATGGAGAATACTGGTGAGCTGCCTATGCTCATCCATGAGGGGTAACAGACTTAGTAAGTAATTATGCAAAGTAAAAACTGGAAACTTTGTTTTTCTGTCGACATCCTCAAACCATCAATATATTCACCACGTAAAAAATTTATTCGAAATCATGAACCGTTCTAAGTTAGAACAAGATTGAAAACCAGGTATTCAATGTTGGTCTGAGATATAAAATAGAGATGACTAAACACGAGATAGATAATGGTCACTAATTAATATATTCCCTCTATAATGAATGCAGGATAATACTTAAAAAATTACATGATGAAAATGTCTTATTATTGGGTGCCTTATTTATGTTAATGAAATAGGATGTTATTTTTAGACTTTTAAATCAGAAATTTCAATCACATGTTATTATGATTCCTATAGGACAAAGAATAAATTTACTAATTACGCTTGTTCCATTTTTTGAAGTACGATCGGTAGTTCATCCAGATTTCCACTTTCATGAACGGTAGAAAATAAAATGTGTGGTTACAATTATGTTTTATTATTATTTGACACATAAATCACGTGATTATACAGTATAAATACCAGATTATAACAATATGAATTGTGATTTGTCAGATATATAAGGCAAACTCACCATAACACTGAATAATCGCTTAGTAAGTCAAATGAAAGCTCACAATTGGGACTATGATAGAATGCACTGAACTTACTTATTAAAAGTATGTAATTTAGTTCATTAAAGAATAACTACCCTGCTTTCATATACTCCTTTTTCTCATATTCTCTGAACAAAATTTATAAAAAGTCTACAGAGAAAAATCGATATTGTGGTAATTTATTAGTTCAAAAAACTGATTGATTGTGCCGTTTTATCTAACCATATGTTTTATTTCTGTAATAAATTTCATTTCTGCGTGTACCTATATGTATTATACATTTTTTTATCGGCTAATTAGCCATACATTGGGTATGACTGACTGACTGACTGGCCGAAATTGACTGATGCGTTTCAGATATCTAGTACTATAATCTGTATTTTGTGTTTGTGTGATGTTGATAAACGAAAGCTTATAGAACTCTTTAATATTCTAAAAATGGTAAACTATATTGATGTAATCGAGCAAAAATGATCGTGAATGAATCACGGCGTCCATCATTGATTATGATAGTCCAGATAATATTTCCCGCTTCATTTTGGTTGGTTGCCAGGTATGTATGGTCGAAATTGAGAAGGAGAGTGGAGTCTATTCCCATTCTCTTTATCATGAAACCATCGAAAATAAATTCCTCTTCAAAACTACATACTTGTTTCCAATATATGATGTAGCGAGTCCAACATTTAATACCATTGCTGTGTAGCTTCCTAACTATCGATTTGGCTGACACAAGAGCCACGATTACTGATTTGAACGTTAAGAAATTAACCTTGCGTTAGTGTTGGTCAGTATAAATCTTAAAGCAACTTACTGTGTACATAATCTGGAGATTTCTGTTCTACAATGATTTTCATTGATTTTTTGTGGAGTGAGTGCTTGGTGATTTATGTATTCATTCTTCAATATTTGGGTTGTAGCTTTCAAACACTTACAGTCTACTTATGTATCGTCGGTCGAGTAATACTATCAACCCTTAAAATAGACTGATTTGAAGCCAAAGTAGGAACTGGCGCTTCATTTCTGGCTTGTATTTTAAGAAATCGCTTATCTCTTAACGGTTACTAGGAGCTATCTATATATATGTATGCATACGTTTACGACATAAATTTAACGTAGAAATATTTTATAGTGTAATATTTTAATTATTTTATCTGGCGATAAATTGTTAAACAAGTTACAGCAATCTCAGTTTATCTGAATACCCTGTAGGGAATTCGCATGTACTCAGTAGTTAATATACAGAAAATAAGAGATCTATTCGATTTAGACCATTTGACAGTAAACTGGCCCATAAAGATCAAAATTGTACTCAAAGTTGGAAACACATATTTGAGATAGATTGTTGAGCCATTAAAAAATCACACAAAGTTGTACACACATAATGCATATGTAAGTCAACAAAAGTTTAGATTTCTGTACTTTTTTCATCGCAAACCAACTTCCCAAACTTGCCAAACAATTGAAATCGTTAAACTCCACTGGTTACGGGCTTTCACTAGAATTTCTTAGGTTACTTTCCAAAGTTAGTTATTAGTAAGCAACAGATAAATCTTTAGTTTAAGAGGTTGTGGAAGTCATTGAATTTTGTAGTTTCATCGAAGTTAATCCGGGACATAAATGCTACGAAATTCAACAGTCTTCATTGACCCATATATTAGGAAGTGTAAATATTAGTGAAATCAAAGCTATTAAAATGATTTCTCCGTACATTTGAACAGGTATATTATAAAATACTAAGCAATAATAATTATATCCTTAAGATGTTATCTTTAATCAAATTTTTATAATTTCTGATTTTCTAATGAATTGGTCTAGTAGTAGATTTGTGGATTTCGAATAGTAAATGTTACGTCCGTGATCTGTCTACCCACTTTTGGTGCTGAGGGCAACTTGTCTAATCTAGATTAAGACATTGACGCGATAGGCTGACCGGCTTAACCTTGAGGCGTGAGTTCGAAGTGGGGTAGAAAGAAGAAAACTATTCTATCACTCTGATTGGCCGACAAGCATGGGAGTGAGAGAAGACAAAACAACTGGAACACTACTCGATTCATTCTCAATTCCGATCTGGTTCCCGGTGTAAAAAGATACATGAATAAATAAGATGACTAACTCGATCACAACGTACAATAATTTAAAAAATACAGTTATGTCCAAAGCTGCGGATTAGTGTAGAAAATAGAATACAAAATAATACGTCTAAATTACAATGGCTTTGGAGCAACAAGGGATGTGGCAGTGAATCATACATCAAACGAAAGCTCATGATGTGTAGAATAGACTAGGGACAAAAATAAATATTACTGTTTTACAAGCTTTGAATTAAGTGAAATAATGTCCCCAATGATAGCTTCCGTAGTTTGTCAAGAAATTAACTAACTGAGCTAGTCAAATAATAACAATCATAATACTTATTATTATACACTATAGGTGATGTTTTTCATAGTAATTACTATGATGCTTATATTCAACAGTTGTTACTGCCTATAAAATCTACCATAACGTTTTGTTTTTTAAAAAAGAATAGTAAAAACTCAATTCATAGAAACAAATAATCATATTTTATTGGTTATATATTTTCACCTACTTGGTATTATTTATATATGTTCATCATTCACTAATATTTATAGATTCTTTATTCAATGTTAATGTGTCGTCTTTTAGCAAAATGATAATAATATGGTACATAAATTCTCTCTAACAATTAGTGGAAATTAATTGATTCACTTTAATAAATGTATTTTGTTTTACTATACGTTACTATATAGTCTGATAAACATTATAAAACAACGTACACATTAGATTTGATGAGATACACTTTGGAATAAATTAAGAAAGAATGGATATTGACATTTAAATATATTATTTAACAAATGAATGGAAATAAAATATATCAAAAGAATAGTTTCAGCTATATTATGATGACATCCCAGTCTCCCAAGTTTGAGAAAATCCGCAAAGTCAATTGACCTTCACCAAGGTTAAAGGGGAATTTTGGGAAAATATTGGAGGATTTCTCCGGAGCTGGGGAAAATTTGGGGTTTCGGTGCCATTTCCCCAAAGTTTACTATAGCGGCTTCCCCAAAACGGGTCAAATTTTCCTTGAAATTGGGAGCTCGGGTATATTAAATCTGTATTATTATTATTTTCAAAGAAAAATAGAACACAGTCATTGTACGGTTGTAGCGGCTAGCCCTATGTCGAGCCCGTATAGGTTATTCTAGTTTCGGGACAGATCAACATTTTCGTTAAAAAAATTTCAGGCCACTTTTGTATTACAGAAAAATAATTTCTAGAATGTTTGGTTAATTATATTTCAAAGAGTTATTTATAAATCTCTTCCTACGTGTTTAAATCAATAAATTACAACACGGAGAAACTTTATAAAACAATTTATAAGGCAACAAATCGTTTCTATCCTCAATTTTCAGGATATTATTGGTGTTGGGATTACAAATCAACGTGAAACAACAATTGCATGGAATAGTGAAACAGGTGAACCATTAGCTCCAGCTATTGTGTGGTCTGATGCAAGAACTGCTGATGATGTTATAAAATTTACACAAATGGCGCCTGGTAATAAATCAAATGCTTTTCAGGTAGATAAATAAAAGTGAAACATACTTTACAATTTGATTTGTTTTAAATAATTCGTTTTACATATCGACTGGTGGTGAAATTCAAGGAACAACCTTCATCCTGTTCGTAACTCGTCAGTTATAAATACACTTATACTTCCATATTGATATTCTAAAAGAGATCTACTTTAAATATCCATTTAGTTGAACAGGTAAATTTATCTATTAGACTACTAATACATTGATCAGTTTGTTTTTTTAAACGATCGATAAGCTCTTGTTTGAATGATTCTGGACTTTTGCTTCTAAATCAAAATTTTCTTCTATAAAATTCATGTAAACTTTCTAAACCATTATATAATGAATGTACAGTATTGAAGGTTGATAAACTAACATCAGATTGTGATGAACATATGAGATAAAATCACTGACTGATTAATTGAAAATGTACTAAAGAATTAGAACATTCATTTATGAATGAATCTATGAATTACTTATCACAAAGTAAATGACGAATCGAGAATAAAATAAACAAATTAATCAGTGACCTTTCATAATTCGCTTCGTCTTAGGATTGTAATCCCTCAGTCTTTTGTGGTATATATGGCAGTCCTGTGTGGACTGCTTCGATATTGCCATTAAATCATAAAGATTTTGGAGATTGACGGTGGCTAACTGTGGAATTCAGGACGCACGTCTTGTCCTATATGGGACTCGTCAGCTGGATGTACCTGAATAGTTATTGTAAAATAATGACACTTTGTCACACATCATCATTGTATTTCATTTGTTTATTTTTTTAGAACTCTTCGGAATTTGTATCAACAGTTTTAGTTTTTCGTTACCGTGTTGTATATTAGTTGTCCTCATCGAAGACTTCACTATATAAACCTACTTATTATGTTTAAATGAAATCGTGACGAATATAGTAAGTGTGGATTCATAAAATACATGATTTCTAGCATCAATACTTATAAACGTGGACAGTAAACAATTTTACTTGTATTTCCTAATGAAAGTTTAGTGGAAAATAAATTATTACACTTTGGTTTATTTGATCAAACTTACAGAGCTGGGCTTTTTACCTCCTTAAATCCATTTAATACATGTTGCTACTGGACTAATCGTTAGTGTTTCCATTTATGACCTTACATTTAGTTCTTCGGCTTGAGTAATTATTTAAATGACCTCCGACCTTTGCTTTGAAGCTTAATCCATCTTAAATATCCGTAATTATAACGTGTCTGTGGATTGATATCTCAAATTTTTATTTGGATTATCATGATCTCTTTTGCACGCTACAGATTAAACTAGATTCTAACTGAATCTGTTTGTTCTAAGTTTTCTTTTAAATTATTGCAGGATTTATTTTATGGATTTTTCTAAGACAAAAAGCCTTCATCTTCGGAGATTATATACTAACATTCATCGTTTGTTAATGTGAGGCTTGTTGTTTGAATAAACATTTTTTGAATCAAGATTTAAGGGCATTTATATTTCCTTCTAGTTTAAACCTTAATTGTATTGATTTCAGTGATCCTGAATAAATTATTCTATAACAAGGTACTCCATTGATAAGAAGTAAACAAACAACTGAAGTAGTGGTAGCAAACTAAACCGCAGTACTCAATGGAAAAGTTTAGCCTAAAATCAAGTACCTGAATGTTGTAACATAACGAATATTGAGAAAGTTTAAATTCTTGGTGCTATTTTCCTGATTATTATTTATATATTCATTACATAATTATTAGATATGTCATTCTGTTCCTATATCTCCCTTACTGTAAACTTCCAGTGGGTAGATTAACTATTGTTATACATTTAACTATCTCTTAATTATTGCTAATTGAATAAGAACTGTTTGTTCTACCGTCTACCACTAATGGTATGATTGGGCTTAAAGTGTAATCTCATATTTGATGTGTTGTGTGATCAGATATTTTCAGTATATTATTGTGTTGCTTTTTAATCATGATCGAAATTGAGTACAATAGAGGGCTAATCCGTTTCCTATCGCCGTCTTCTGATTAACTGCTAGGTTATAAATGAGCTCGAGGAGCAATTAGACGTTAAGGCTATCGTCAGTGTGTAAAACTCGTGAACTTGGGCACTAGTCAGACTAGCGATATATTACGTGATATCGAATAGAAATTTTCAAGCCCCAACAAACCGGTGTCTTTTTTTCTCGAAATGCTACTCTGAAATAGTTCACATGTTTTCTGTGTCAAACGAAAGTAAAAACATTTAATTCAGTAATTGAAAATTAGAAATAAGTAAGGTAGTAAAACGTCAGAGGTTTTGGTTTTTATCAGATATTTACCCTAAAAATAATCAAATTAACCAACTATTGCATCTTTTAATCTTTGGTGACGAGAAAACTATATAAAATTATCAAGAATACTCATAAAAACTGAAATTCATGTATAAATTAACTTTTTAGAATATCAGAGACGTAAAATAAACTTGATTTACTTTTATTGAGGTTATATAATTACTTGCATAAACACCAAAAGTCTTTATTCTAAAAACATGTAAGTAGTCTATTATTCTCACAGATCATTCAATAAATGACTAACCAATATAGTTAAAGTTGTTTTATTCATCAAACTGAATCAAGGAATATTGTAAATGATCACTGTTGAAACATTTCTTAGTGAGGCGAAATGGCTGTCCAATGCTTCCTGTTTTTTATTGATTCAGTAAGCAAAGACAGTTCATCATATGGAATTTCTAAAATTTATATCATTGAAAAATTTCATCGTAAAATATTCTGTTTAATTAACAATAGAAATAAAGATAAGTTAACAGTGATTTTATGACATCATGGTAGATTTATAGAAATTGTAACTTGTATCAACTTAATTACTCGAATTATCACAATAAACATACTTTTTTGATTACTTAATATTCTGTTGTTTTTTTACATAACAGTTGTAAATTCACCATATGACTTGAACTCGTTAAACCGTTGTAATTGTAAACTTATATCTGTAAAAGGTTTATATAGTTATATTTCAGATTTATTTATTTTATTTAAAGATTAACTGATTAACTTGTTTTTAAAATCAATTATATGTATGTCAGTAAATAAATATAATATTTTAAAACACATTATAAACTTCAATAGTTGAGATCATGAGTCAATTGAAGCTAGACCACCATGGAAAACCTTGAAGCACTGGACGGTCGTTTCGTTCCATTGTGGGACTTGTCAGTGGCAGTGCGCATTCACGACCCCCTTTCGCTTCCACATTTTCCATGGGGGTCTAGATTCAATTGACTCATGATCTCAACCATTGAAATTACTATAATATCCACAAAAACCCTTCTGATACTCATACATGTATCCACGATCCCAGGACCTATTAGTCTCGCGCGCGAGACTACAATCTCCACAAAACCACTTCTGATAAATTAATATCCTTACTGTGGGATATTGATGAAAGGTAGAATTTCAAAAGTATATCATTATGATTGGCAGCCTGCTTGAATATTTGGGCTACCTGTTTCTGCCATTTAGATAATTCAATAAGTTATTTGCTTTTGTTTGTTTTCACACATTATTATGTCTTAATTGTATAACCTATCCAAACGTATTTATGGAAACTTTACGACCTTTCGTTGTACAAGTTACAAAAAGTACAATTAGAGATTGTGCTGGTTGGTAATATATACTCACATGTCTATTCCTAAATTACTAACATCTAACTGGCGATCACTTAATATTTATCGTCAGGGTCAATCAAGAAATAAGAAAAAGAAACTTGTTTAAATACTTTGTGCTGAAAATTCTATACTGTACCAAAACAATATTGAATAAAACCCATAATAATAATAACTTTGGTTATAATCGCGTATTATTTTCTGTAACACTAGAAATAATGGATTTTGCCATTAAAAGAACGAATTCTAATTTTTATTTAACTTCATTTTTTAATAGTTGATATATTTTGTTTATTGGTTACTTTAAATGGTTTCAAAATATCTTTGCCTTCAAAACAAAGATATCGTCATGATTGTAGCACTTATGTGTTTCATTTTCCTTGAAAGATTCTCCAAACTGTAAATTGATAATCAAAATAGAAGGTAAATGAGTACAGTGTTGATGTCCACATTTAAACTCAAAACTGTTATCAGTGTGAATGTCAACAATGAGATTGTAGTACATCTAACTGATGAGTCTCAGGTTAATCAAAACGCGAATCTTGGATTCCGGAGTCAACCACAATCTGCATGTTTTATAATAATAATTTAATTTGAAAATCTATAGAAATACATGTATACTTTTTGATTTCCTTCTCTAGCATATTACAGGTTTACCGATACATAGTTATTTCTCAGCTTTAAAAATGAATTGGTTACTAAATAATGTAAAGTCAGTGGTTAAAGCAGATGAAGAAAATAAATTATTATTTGGCACAGTTGATTCATGGCTGATATGGAAACTAACTAGTCAGATGTGCCATGTTACTGATGTGACGAATGCAAGCCGTACACTACTATTTAATTTGAATACATTGGAGTGGGATCATGATCTATGCCAGTAAGCGTAAGACACTTTTTACTGTTCATAATGTAAACACTCATTTGGAATATTAAGCTAGAAATTATTCTTATGATATTGAGTACTATGATAGAGAAGCGTTCGAACTGGAGGTCTTAGGTCCTAATGTCAAGTAATTTATTAATTACATACTCAGATTTATTTTAGCGAATAATACTTATTCAATGTTCATATTATTCATACATAATTATTTGACAAATTATATACTTGCACAAATCAGTTCACTTTTAAAATAATTAATAGATTATTAGTTTGTAGTGACTTATTTTTATCACGAGAACACGATTGGTTTAATGAAAACAATTATTATTATAACCAATTGTACCAGTGACTGTTTAATGTGCTCTTTGTTTAACTTTGCTAAAAACATCCATTATACACACTTCGATTGTGACCTCGCGCGAATCCGGTTACGCTCAGTAACCAAGCTTGTATCCCTGGCACGATCTCAGTATTCTTTTGATACCACGAGATCGCCAGCAAATATATCTCGACTTGGTCCATTAACTGCCTTCTGATATTTGGCTTCCGGGGGATTTTATGGATATCCTGGCACGCGTTCCTTTTTAATGGTCAATCTCGACTTGACTCCACTCTACAAGTTTTCTTAACATTTAATAACTCACTGTTTTGCACCTAGATTTCACATCGACAGGCAATATAATTGTGATTATATGTGTTTTTTAGAAAACTTGATTTAAACTAGGTTTTATAGGTTGCTGCTATACTCATGTGTGTGCTTAGGCTTAAAAACTTATGTAGTATCGTATTCTAAGAGTTTTACACTGTATATATAATTCCTAGCGCATTAAACCAACGTATGACCGTTTATGATTGTTAGATTTTTTTCATATTCGAATTAACGATTTATCTTAGGAAACTATTTGAAACCAGGAAGCATTGGACATTCATTTCCTCCTGGTATAGAGCTTCTCATCGGTGTGCATCCATAACTTCCACTGTGATTTAAATCTAGGACCTTTGGTTTCTCGGTGAGCTTTTAAATTCTAGATAACTGAACTGGCAATTTCTTAAGTTCTAATGCAAAGTTTATCACTAGATGATTTCAGCCATGTCCGTCGTAAGATAGCTGTCCACAATAGGCCATCGAAGATAATTTCAAATCAATTGAATTTAGAAAAGTACATTATGGATATTGGCTCAGTGGTCTACAGATTTAAGGCTCACTGTGAGATCGAAGGTCCAGCATTCAATTCGTGGTAGGGTCATGGATACACACCGATGAAAAGCTCTATACTGGGACGAAATGACTATCAGATGCTTCCTGGTTCTTGATCGTTTCCTAAAATCGATTCCTATTTTAAATATGTAAAATTCAGTAGTTTTTACAAAATTCCTTACGTTACTTGGAAAATGATTACACTTACATTTATTTTATTCATTTAATTACAGATTTTTTCATATTAATCCACGTACACTTCCGAAAATAGTAACATCATCTGAATTAATCGGTGTTATTCAAGATTCAAAATGTTTAATGAAAGGCGTTCCTATTTATGGGATATTAGGTGATCAACAAGCATCACTTGTTGCACAAACATGGGGACTGTCCAGTTCTGTAGATGAAAATAATTTACCAGATATATCCAGGGTTAAAGTAACGTATGGAACTGGAGCATTTATGCTATGGAATATTGGTTGTCAACCATATTTTTCAGATAAAGGTGTTCTAACCACAATAGCTTATAAAATGGGTTCAAAAGGAAGACCACATTATGCTTTAGAGGTAGGTTCACAATAAAATGATAGGTAGTTATGGTTACTTTAATTTTACTAATTTCGTTATTTTGTAGAACAAAGGACATTAGAAACATTTTTTGGTAAGTGATAATTCGTTAGAAAGTTGTTTTCTGTTGGATAGTATAAGTATAAATTCAGTGTATCTCATCCATCTTGATCCGAGACTAAATGAATGACCAAATTACAACCATTTTTGTTGAAATAAATGTACTTTTAGGATTTTTGCTTATTTTATTACATGATTGTTTGTAGTCACAATTGTAACACCTATAAACAAACACATGATGGTTGTTTACAATTTGTGTAGTTTGCACAGTTTGAAGTTAATTGTCATCCGAAATTCAAATCATTTAGAGAATCAATGGAAAACATGGAGAACTAGACATCTGTTTTATTAGCTACTACACACCTCAAGCATTGTGTACCCTCGATCATATACAACATAGAAACCCGGACTTTTAACTATCTCAATCGATCATGTTGTCTAATGCAGTCTAAATAACTAAAGGTATCATTATGAGTTGAATTCCTAAGATTCTTTTTCTGTTAATCTGACGGTTAATGGTTATCTGAACACCGTTGATTTTTCATCACATCTTAGAAAATTATATTGTCAACAAGAAATCACCTCTTATTCATCTCACTATTTTTACTAAATAGATAACAGTGAAAAATTCTACATTGTAATAACTCCGAATAATAAATACAAGAAGTGTTTTTTTTTCATTTCCACTGACACTTGAATAATACTGTTTTCATAATTATTGATATAAATCAAATCTGAATCTGAAATCTTTCTGTAAAGGTTTTCATTGTAGAGATATATACAAATTATATATATTTTTTTACGAAAATTCAGTTGTTTTTGTGTTGTATACAAGATATAAATTAAATACAGTTGAAAGTAAGGTTGCTTGTCTCTGGTGCTATAGCATACATACTAAATGGTATGAATAATTTCAAGAATTATGTTATCGGTAATCACTTACTACACAACAAGCAATTCTGCTGTAACATTTATGCGCTATATTGATAAGAACGTGTTGTATAAATATCCTATTTTCTTTTTTTGACCCATATATTATGGGCTTGAAGTGAGTTTTTAAGAAACTAAAATTATTTTCACAAATGTCATATCAAGTTTCTCGAATTGAAATCAACTGATGAAATGAGTTTAGGGGTATGACAATATTATTAGTAAAAAACTAAATACTTACATCGTACTAAAATTTATTGTTTCACTTATTTTTTTTGGATATAACTGGTCACTGTTTACTAGTAATGATGCTTGCTTTGAAATGATTCTGAACAACTATCAGGTTCTCGGATAATTCCAACTGGATACGTTATTTTATTATTTTTATTAAACTAAATACAAGTCATTGAAGTTTGTTATAGATAAGTAGTCCTTGATGTTCTATCCATTGTGGTTTGTAGGTAGGCATCAACATTACTCAATAACTTGCCTGATCATAGTAAATGCTAATCATTTTCATCATGAATTAGAATTATCTAAATAACTGTTGAAAATAAGTGAGTTATAAGCAGCTATTTCACCTAGATTTCAGAACGTTTTAGAATTGCATACTGACAATCACAAACACGATCGAACCAAGAGATTTTTTGACATCACTACAAGTAAAGTTATGATCAGGTTACTGTGTGGGAATACAGACATTTCATTTATCGATTACAGTCATTCTGTTATATAGTTTAACTATCATTCAATATATATCGATGAGTAATGAGCTCAAATCGTTATTGATTAACAAGTATATATATGATCAGATTGTTCGAAATGTATTACCCTAATATATCACATAATTCTGATAAACTTCGTCTTCTCATTGCATTGTCGAAAGTTGTATTCTAATTTTTATGGCACTTCAGTTGAGATGTATTAAAAAATTGGAATTTCTAAAAGTCATAATAATTTGTTGTTCATGTTTGTACATTTAATGGAATTGTATTCTCTTAACTTAATTGTTTGATTATAAAGATTTGATTTTTATTCTGTGACAAGAATGGAACTTATTCACTTTTGTTCTGATATTATCCCTAGTGATAATGACAACTTTTCAATTAAACTATTCGACTCAATAAAGTATAAGATTAAATTTTAGAACAGTTAATGATAGTCTCATAGTGATTAAGTGCCTAGTGTGTTGACTGATTTTGAATGAGGATTCATTTAATGTTAAGCATAACTCGTTTACTTTAAGTACTATATTTCAACTTTAGTATTGCTTACAAATGTTAAGTAACATTAAATCTGCTCCAATGAACGCTCCTTAAATTTATTCCTTCACATAAACCACACTGCTTAAAACATCAAGAGTGTAGATTCATTGAGATTTTATGTTGTCTGTTTTATTGAATACTTTCAGTAATACTTACTTTAGAAAACTTTAAAATGATGTGATGATTGAAATAATCAACGTTCTTTTTAAACCTATCAGAGCAGAGCTTAATGCAATACTCTCATTTTTACATCATTAATTTTAATCATAGGGAACTTCATTGATCGAAAATGCTTTTTGAAACGTACACCATGAATAGGAAATCCGTTTTCTTTATTATCGCTTTCACTACTAATATAATGTTGAGTGAGTGAAAGTTTTGACGTTTTTTCCTACTTAATTAGGGTGCTATATCATTTTCTGGGGCTACAATGAGATGGTTAAAGACAAAACTGGACGTGTTTAAAGATGATGCGGAATGTGAGAAATTGTCTGCTTCAGTATACAGAAAACAAAGATTTAATGAACCAGATCCATGCTATTTAGTCCCAGCATTTAGTGGTCTTTTCTGTCCATGGTGGCAAGAAAGTACACGTTGTGTCATTTGTGGAATCACAGCGAATGTTGATAAATCTGATCTTGTTTATGCTGGCTTAAGATCATCTGTTTATCAAACATATGATGTTCTCTTTGTGGCTACTTTAGCTAAAGCTAATAATAAATGCAATTCAATAGTTCCACTAATGGCATTAAAAAAACCAAATGAAATTATTGTTGATGGTGGAATGTCCAATAGTGACATTCTTATGCAAAGTTTAGCTGACATTTTGAGTAGGTTTGACCAATTTTATCATTATCATTATTATTATTTCACCCAGCATGCCGGTAATAAGTTGATACATCACTTTATTTCAACGCTATACAACCTCAAACTTGGTATTTGTATAGGTTTACTGAATCAGAATATCATAAAACAAGAATTTAGCAGTAATTATATATATATATATATATATATATATATATATATATATATATATATATATATATATATATATATATATATATATATATATATATAATGTTTACAATTGTTATTTGAAATTCAGCACAGAGCGTTACATATATTTCTTGCTAGGATAAAATATTATCTAGTTACTCCAAGAAAAACGGCTAGAAAGAGTCATTTCACTGACTTTGAAACCGTTACTCTTGCATATAAACGTGCTGGGAAAATATTTGCCCTATTAGTTGTTCATCACAGTTAATCAGCAACTCGCATAATCATCGTCAAATACAATAAAAATAACTCAGGGAACTTATCTCACAACCTTTACAATCTACCCCGAATTATTCAAGTAATCAATCATTTAGCCTTATAGAATATTTCAATTGGCAATAAACATACAAATAAAAGCTACAGAATTAAAGTGCATGAATAAATCATTTATCAGAGACAGGATTCAGGAGAATAATTAATTTTAAAGTTAGTTTTTTTAAATCCTAAACTCCAGTAAAAAATAAAATACATATATGGTTCAGCTAAACTGTGAGTATACTATTTGTAGATGTCTGTCGAGAAAGTAACATTCTCTAATCGTTCACGTGGATTACGTTGAAGTGTAAAATGCTTTGGTAATTGTTTGGATAGCTAATATTGTGGTGTGTGCTACTTATATTGACATAAGTAGTATATGATGTTAGTCGTGATCAGAAGGTCTGGCAGCAGAGAGACAAGAGGATCGAACAGTAAATAATCGGAACAGAATGCGATTTATATGGAAATGCAAGAACAATGAATTCTGAGTCATTTTGAGACAATTGAAGGACATTTTGCAAATTAAGCATTTACTTTATGGTTGTTAGATTTTATTAACAATTTCTGTAATTTTATGTTAAGTATATTTGATAGTCCCCATCCGTGTTCTGTTCACTACAATATTAGTCAACTTTTCCTGTTTACAAGATACAACCAACAGAAAAAGCGTGAACATAACCTTAAATATTAGAATGTATCCACTTTTGGTAAATAACTGGAATTCAACTACAATATTAAATCCGATTGATATTAGGATAACGATCGAAATATATTATTGTACTGTTCATTTTTGTAAAAACTAATTCAAATACAAACAACTGTTTTCTAATTCTACAGGAAACATTAAGCTTGAACAGGAAACAGTAGAAAAACAGAATAATATACTGAAAAGAAAATCAAAGGATTAATTTCAAGGCTTATTAAAATAATAAGGTTGTTTATTAACATTATTGAACTCCGTATGATAGTTGAAAGCTCCGAATCCAACATTTAAATTTCAGACGTTTCGCTATGATTCTAGTTGTTTACATTTCTGAAGAAACAATTTTGCTTTAATTTGTGAACAGTGATATACTGGTGGTAGAAAAACAAGGAATCTGTTTAAAGAATAATTATTATTCGTAAATCTATACTTATTGTGAGAGTTACAAAATATGAATAGAGCAGGTTTGTGGATATCGTGATGGATCCTTCTGGTGATGAAACTACTCTTCAGTGAACTGTAGTTTTTAGTGTCAGTCTACCCTGAAGGCAATTAGTGTTGTAGACTGCAAGGTTTCAAAATGCATTTGTATTATTGTTTCGTTTTTCTATTTCTCGTGGTTATTCTCAAGTTAGTAGTGAATATCATCATAATAAGGGAAGAGTACTAGTTTGGAAATTTTTTGATTGACTAAAATTCTGTTGCTATGTAAATTGATATGTAGTTATCATACACTTTTATAATAATTACAGACAGTATAGTAACTTCATTAAACTAACTAACCGATCAAGTTCAACCTAAACCTAAACAATCTCTCCTTATTTGAAGTATACATTTGATTTTCATGGATTTTACCGGCTAGCAAAACTTGTGTTACATTTCATATATAAAAATAATCGGTTAACTGATCAATTTAATACTACTGATACAATATTTAGTACGTAATTGTTTATTTCATACTGTTTACTTATCTGCTCTATTTATTTTATTTTTCATTGAATAGATGTAACTGTTCGACGTCATAATCATTCTGATGTTATGACTGCATTAGGTGCGGCAGTTACTGTGGCATTAGCACTGGATATTAATCCAACTGGATTATTGAAAATTCGAGAATATTCGACTAATAAACCAGATGAATATCAGTCAACATTTTATTCAAAAATTAATTCAAATGATCGCGCCGTTAAATTATACGGTTGGCATGAATCAGTTAAACGAAGTTTAAACTGGATATCGAATAAGTCAATAAGTGAATCACAAAATACACTTTTCGATTTATTGGACCATATCTGTAATGAGCAACATGAAGATGTGAAGAAAATTAAAGTAAATGAAATTCTTTTTAATGAGTTCATTTATTTTTCCCTCTCTCTATTCATTATTTTGCATCATTTAGTAAAACTATTATTTCGATAGTTGAAATCATGAGTCATTTGAAGCTAGACCATCATGAAAAACCTGGAAGCGCTGGACGACCGTTTCGTCCTAGTATGGGGCTCCTCAACAGTGCGCATCCACGATCCCGCCCGCCGCGAGATTCGTACCCAGGATCTATCAGTCTCGCGAGCGACCGCTCAACCATTAGACCACTGAGCCGGCCGTCATTCAACGGTGTTAATGTCTAACTTCAGCTAATTGCCAAAATCTCCACTAAACCCCTCCTGATAAGAACATTATTGTATGTGTAGTTAAAAAAGTTGATTCTATTTTCTAATAATCCATTACTCGTATTTTATTTTAAGCGTTTATTTACCTGAAAGTCTAAAGCCTATCATAAATATATTTATCATTCATTTTGTTCTGTACCATGATACTCGATAGTAACTGGCATTTCGAGTCATTTTTAATTTGTTGCTATAACTGTTACGATATGTGTCTATAAACTAAGTAACTATTCATAAGTGATATATTTAATTTCTTTTTTAAAATTTTTCAATAATGAAAAATCCGTATAAATTTAATTATTACATATGTCTAATAATTGATTGATACATTCACTGATGATGACTATCTAAAGGTGTTGTAAAAAAGAAAAAAATATTTTTGTGCTCTTAGAAATAATACAGTAATAGGATAATACTATGAAGAAATCCACTTGATATAGACTAAATCACGTAACGTATAAACATGCTATATACAACTAATAATAAATAATAGATCAGACATTAATGTATTTCCGCTCGAATAATTACGTATTAAAGAATGACACTGATATTGTATAGGTTTTACAATGAAATTGAAAATCAATACCAATAGACGATGATGAATTAACTTAACAATACAGTAACCAGTTTTATAACACAAAAAATATGAAATTTCATAATCTGTTAATTGTCAAAACTAATTGATTTTATGTGCCGGCTCACTGTCTAGTGGTTAAGCGCTCGCGTGTGAGACTGATAGGTCCTGGGTTCGAATCTCTCAGGAGGGGCGAGATCGTGAATGCGCACTGCTGAGGAGTCCCACAATAAGACTAAACGGCCTTCCAGTGCTTCCAGGTTTTCCATGGTGGTCTAGCTTCAACTGACTCATGATCTCAACCATTGAAATAATATTTAATACTAAAACTTCTAATATTAGTGTAGGGTCATGTAAAAGAAATAACTGAAAAAGTAGTATTTTTTCACTCAACTTATATCGTACATGTCTCTGTGGGAATAATTAATGAATGGTTTATATAACACAAATACTGAAAGTTTACATACACAGTGAAGTCAAAGTAGAGAACAATAATAGAAAGAAACTCATGATATTAATTAGTACCAGAGCATTTAGCATCCTGAATGTTTATTTGTCTACGCCCACTAACTATATTTTAGTAGGAAAACTAAAAGAAGATCAAATAATTAATGTATGACAGTAATGGTTAGTTTTCGCATCACTGATGATTTTAATGATGTAAGAGAGGTTGAAATCTTCTGAGGGCTAGAGCTTCTATAGAGAAAAGTATAGCCTAATGACATAAGAAATCTAATCTACGTTTGTTTCAAATAGCCACCTCAACACTTTACTTTGATGTGAATTTGCACAATTCACCTATCCCATTACTGATTTGGAATTGTGCTGTCAAATGATTTTAAAATCATTTCTTATTATCATCAAATTTACATTTCAATTGTCCTTTGTTTTTATGTGTTGCCACTCACATATGAATTGGTAACTACCATGGGAAATGAAGTAGTGATTTATATGTTTTGAGACTTGTATAAAGTAATGGGGTCACTTCTTTTGGTACAGAAAAATTTGGTTGCTTATCATTTATTTTCAGTAGTTGTTTTCAATCTCTGTTGCCAAATGAGACTATCGAGTTTTCTCCTACAATCGGAAATTGAGTAAACAGTCTTCAAAAAATAATTGCAAAGTTCACATGCTGTCTAACGTATGTATATATATTAGTGTTTTAGTCGACAGCATCTTCCTCAAATGTATTTTCAGTGCAGGTACATAAATAAAAAAAATTTTTATAACTTTGTATAATACGCGTTATCTTCTCCAATTCAACTTCATATCCAGTTATTATAATAAACATTTACTTGAAATATCACTTTTTACAACCTTACCATTTTATTCGAGTAATATAAGCACAAACGTATCCATAACTATTCAATTGTTGCAACGATGATCATGAGATAAAGGACTATAGCTGGTAAACTGTTGATAGCACTATTATTATTCCTTTTGTTTCTTTTATTTGTATCTATAATTGTATGTTTTCAATTTATGTTTATTTCAAAAGGAAAATCAGTGTCCATTGAATTCATCACAAAAAATATCGTTTGGTCTAACAGTTATTGGTGTATTTTTACTTGGACTGTTGGTTGGTCAGAGAATTAAATGATGTGTTTACGTTATGCTTTATCATATATATGGGAGGCGATGATTTTAATTTCAGAACGAACTATCTTATTATCAGTCATTTTATCTATTTAATAAAATATACTTAAATAATCTTTATATGATATTTTTGTATGCGGTTTGTCTCTATATTTCTTGTCTGGAAAAACATTATGCGGTGGAAAATCACATCATGAAAGAAAGCTTGCGCTTTAAAATTCAACTTTAATAGATATTGATACTTATTGTATTTGAATCTGTAGGAGCCGTCTTGTGTAACATCAATATTAGCTGTTGATGTATCACTAATAAATCAAAAACAGATTAACAACGTAGTGGTTGGTCACTTTTTCAATATATAACACGAAAACATCGGTTCAAAGACTTTTCAGAAACAAATAATGGTAAATCTATGAACTTGTCAAAAATACTCACCCGGATATATAAATTTAACACATTTAAAAATAGAGGAAAATGAACCATTAATCACTATAACATTAAAATTGACATTACTTGTTTCAATAAAAAGGAAGCTATGCAATCATAAGTGTACATAGTGAGGACAGTTTGCTCGTAATTCACCTTTCTCCAGAGGATGTGTCCATCATTCTCCATAAAACAGTCAAATACCTTAGTTTTATTAATATTCGAAACTCTACAAGCTATGCATTCTAAATCTGTTAATCTGCGGAGTTTTATAATTCTTCATGTAACTACCTCCTGCTTTGTTCGGTCTACTAAATCCGATGTGAAAAGATATACTACATAGTACATTGAGGAACCCATAGTAACTGGAAAACTACAAATAGGAATTAGAGTTCACCAATCCAGATACAGATATAGGAATACTGAATTTTAATGCATTCAAACCTGCTTAAGACCGGACAGACGATTAAAATATATAATTTTTCTAAAGTTTCATCCGAGATAGTCTCATAAAGTTGCATCAGAGGTTTTAATATGTTATCTGGTAATTACTTGAAATGTTTCAAATATCTATGAGTGATTCGCAAAAATAATTCAGTTAGTATATATGTCTTACACTTGGGTGTTATTTTTGTCGAATTTTAAAACTATAACGTTACTAACTTGGCTACTGCATACTCTGCGACCAATAGCCCACGTAATAGTCTCACTTCTTTTGTCCTCGAAGCAGAGTTACAGATGAACAGTGATAAGTATGTTTTGTGTCTTTGATTCACTTATTCACATTGTCCCTGAGTCTCGAAATTTGAATATAATGAAGGCGGCTCTCTTATGCTCAATACGGGGACGGAAGAAGAGTAATTTTCCAGGGTTTACCTTGAGGAAATGCCGAGCTGTATTCTTCTGCATCTCCAAAGTATATAAGATGGTTCACGCTATCTGTAGTCTTTCCTTGTTCATCACATAAAGAGAGCACTATCTTGATTATTTTATACCAGAAACGCTGGATACTAGACACTTTCAAGGCACCGGATGTCCACGGTTAATCACATTATCCCCAGAGTAAGGTGAGATTGCTAATTATACACTTACCCCTTGCTCCTTATTTGAACTGACGCTTGTAATCATCTTGAAACCCATAATATTGTAGCACTTGCCGTAACAGATAGGCTTAACGCGACCAATAACGAATGCCGAAATATGATTTCCATAACTCCTGTACTAAGGCAATCGAGTTCGCATGATACGGGGTTTGTTGCGTAATCCCCAATTTACATTAATCGGGTAAAGCTTGTATCGTTAGTACAGAATCTACGGAAATGGTTTTACTCCATCAAATTCCCTTTAATGTAATATGGTGCCGAACTACTGAAGAAATCGTCTTTTTCACCTGAAATCAGGGTTATGGCGTGGAGCGGTTGATCACAGTTTCTCTCTGAATGTTTGTTAGAAAAGTCTGTTGTTTGATAGGTTTCTTTCAAGTGATAGATTGACACTGTTATATCGAGAATATCAATGTTAGTTTGCAGGTACTCAACAATATTTAGTAACTTTTGCATTTTAACGCGTTATTTTGTACCAGAATTACATATGACTGTATAGTAGGTGAATAGCATAGTTAAAGTAGTTTTTCTTATGATCTGCTTTCACAATGGTACTGCATAAAATTTGTGTTGCAATATGGTCACCGAACGCTAGCGAATTTCAGAAATATTGCACACTATGGAGAATAACATGGGGATTTGATTTATTAAATACACATTTTATCGCTAGACCACTCTCTGATTTCAGACCAAATATACACAGTTCGCTCGTTACATATATCGGATGCCGTCGAGGGAGGGGTGTTGCAAAGTGTCTGGACTTCCTGCCATATCAGTCTAATTGTATCACTCGTTTTGATGAAGTTATACTGTACAAGGAAGACTTCAAAACATGTTCGATCAAGCAAAGCAGGCCTCAGAAGTCTTTCAGGTAACCCAAGAAGCAACAACTAAACTTTCCTGTTGCGTTGGAATTAAAATGACGAATCATGTACCATAATGTAGTGAAAAATAAATCTATTTTATTGAGGATGTATTCAGATACACCACATGTGACATAAGAAATCATGTTGACTTTAATATATCGTTGGGTTAACGGTTCAGAGCATCAAAACTAGACGCTTCAAACCGTAAGCCGTATATGTCGCTGGAGAGTTAGCAAAAGGACTTAAGAGCCAGTGAATGTGGTGGACTACAAAAAGTCTGAGTTGGTAAGTTGTAGTTCGAATGAAGCTTGCGAACACCATGTGCAACTGCACGAAAGCAATCATTAAACTAACACGTGACATGTTCTGGAACTCGGCGAAATTCGGACAACTAAGGAAATGGAAACAGGTGACCTACTTCAATCTCTATAGCAAGAGATAAGAAGGACCTAACCTAGCACAGGCCCGTTAAAATACCTTAAATACCGAATTAGGCAATGTAAGGACTGTTCGACAACCGAACGAGGGAACGCATGAACGAAACGACTTACTTTATGGAGCATGAGCTGGATCCATAAAAGACAGCTACTTGACGTTTTAAAATGGGACAGCTGGAAATCTGACGTTACTAAAAGATGCTCGTACGTTTAGCCTCTCATGGCTCTTAAAGAGCGTTCAAAAGATTACTGCACACATTCCTAATAGTAGAGGTTATGAGGATGTGTTTATCTGACCTGGCCTCTAAATTAAGTGGAGATTAACTGATTCACTCGAAGATACACAGGGTGTTCGCGAGCTGCAAGAACCACAACGTTGTTGAATTCCCCAACTGAAACGTGACATAATCTCTCAGCCGAAATGGGTGACGATAGACTTCGAAACTTCGAATAGTTTTCACTTTTCTGTTGGAAGTTTGGCAATCTAATAACCGGACGAAATTTTCAAAGCACACCATTTTAAATCCGTCACAAGCATCCCACGAGAACATCACGACCACGTCTAACTAGTCAACCACTGCAAACTCGATAATCATGGAGCAAAAACCTATGTAAACTCTTACTGTTTCCCATTAGTCGTTCACCACATTTGAGAAGCCCTACCGGCCGAAGTGAATAAGTCCCACATAGTGGATATCTTCAAGAGGAGACGTGAAAAACAAGTATTCCCTAATGGACGAGAAACTCCCTATTGAACTAGCTGCAGCTGATATACTCCTCTGAACCTATGGATTGGTAATAAAATATATAATTAATTACTTCCGACCTTGTTTATCATTTAAAAAGTGTGTAAATTTTCAGAACATATAGTCCTGTAAGTTCTCGAAATTGACGTAGACATCAATAATTTTACTGGGCCCAACCCAGCTAAAGGCGATCTTTCACGCATCCATACCAGATCAAGGGTACGTACGCCGTGCTACACATCCTTCGCAACCATTAAACAGCTTAAACCAAACGTTTCTCGACGTACGGATAGCTCTTCAAATATATCTCAAAACCCCTTCCTTTCTGACTTCCGATTTGTGTGGGTTGGCATTTTGCGATTATAAAAGGTGTTACTGGTTAGGGCGTTGTCAAATACTGAATATTTGTGGCCCCTTCACTATCATTTATGTTTTGTTCGTATCTTAGGCTTTAATTCTTTCAGGATGTCTGAATTACCAATTAATCAGCTTCTTTATTTATTTCTTGAGACAATTGAATTTTCACATTATTGTTTTTCACATTACAATCGAATCACCTCTTAACTAATAAAGCGATAGCTCATGGTATACAGAAACTTTACTGTACTCAGAAAAATATCCTCAACCACACTGCAAGATATACACACCAACAAATAACTGACAAGTGGGCTAGAATTAGTTCAGTCGAGTGACTAGGCCACCACCTATTGGAAATTTACCAAAGAACTGAAACTGTGCTGAAACAATAAGAGGCGAGCAGAAAGAAATTTATCGGTTTGTAAACACTAATACTAATGATATGTGATTGGACAATGTAACCGACTTGGCTTTTCTAAAAGTTCGCTACACTTATGAGACTTCTTGTCGTTAAGACATGCAGTTCAATCCTGACTCCTCTGTGTCGGGGTATGGCATGTAGGTTTACTTATGAACGTTACTACGATATATCTCTAAATAAAACTATTTAACAACAGTAATTTAACTTTACATCTACTAGCATTATTGAGATGGGTTGCTGTGTAGTAAACACCATCCAAATGTTGTCGCTCCAGTCAATACAGCACTACATACATATCGGCCTTGTTTAATTCTCAAATACATACTGCACTCTTGTAGTCTAAAAAGAAATTTCGAAGTGGGAACTGTGGTCTTGATTTGCCAAATCTTCCCATTTAGGGTTTTCCCTAAAGTCGTATGGCACTTGGTAGTTTTCCTTGATGTTTGGTGGAAAATCCCAAAGTATTATAAGATTCTGTGGAAATATGTCGGAAGGCTCTAAATTTCCTCAAGCATATTGGGTATTTTCCTCAGATCTGCGGATATTTTAGGGTTTTTTGCCATTCCTCCAGAATTTTCTTATAGCGGCTTCCTCTAAATTTACCCAGAACGGACATCTTCCTAAGAATTAGGGAGATTGGGTTGGTTATGAATGCTAGACGAATGAATAGCCTAGTTGAGATATCTGGCAACCTACAACGGATTATAAAATATTTGTCTTTTCAATACAGTGTTGTGTTTAGTAGTTCGATATGCAAAAGTGTGTTAAAGCGTAAGCACGTGCGTTCCAGTTATACATAGTCTTAAAAAACGCTCTCATCTCGCTAGTTCTAAAACAATTGTATTGTCATTTCCATGCAAATATCATGGTATGGAGAGATTTTCTAGTGGTCTGAGTGTCATATTGGATGATCAGTTGGTTTATTCAATAGTTCCCTGAATCTAAATCTGATCAGAGTCTTCGATCTTGGTTATATTGTCGCTGTTAAGTGTACTACTCATAGATATCTATCCTCTGGGTGATACGATTCTGGAATACATACGGACCTTTGGGGACTCCCAAAACGCTTTGACGAATGTAGATATTGCGTCAGGCTCTGACGAGACGATTACATAGTGATGCTTCCCATTGGTTAGTGGAGTCACTATCTGTTTATACAGTCATAATTGGTTTTAACGATGCCACTTTTCCGATGAGACAGTCTCCCGATTTGTCCTAGCAAGTTGTGTGAACTATTTTGCCACTCCTAACACTGGCTGTATGGTAATGTTAGTGTGATAATTCCTCATCAAAACCAAATACCAAGGGATCCATATTTTATTGATTTTGGAGACGTATATCTCAACCGATTGTTCCTAAACCACTTCTGATATTTCTAGCTAGTCTGACCATTTCACGTGTTCTACACGTAACATGATGCATAATTAGATACCCCCCAAAAACCATCGTAACTGTGTAACATAAAATATAATTCCACTTATACTCTATTACAGTCGCGAAACGACATTCCGTATGTAATGTGAGTTATTTTTGAGTAATTGGTTGCTCTCACTTGCTGCGACACTATTCTTTCCATATATGAAATTCTATCCTCTGGTAATCACCTCGCCTACATGTATTTCCCTAAAAACGACTAAAAGGTGTCATCGATTAACAAAGGTAGCAAATTCAAACATCTCCAACCAAACCCATCACTGATTAGAAGCCATTTTATCAGTCGGTTGGGTAATGTACTTCCCACGCGGTGAGTTTGCAGCAAGGGTAAATATTCTTTAGAACAATTTAGCACTATTTGGTGTTTAGCCGTCCACTTCTTCACACACAATATATCCATCCATTGTTATTGTCATTTGTAAATTGATAATTTATGCAGATTATCACATTGAGTGGAAACCGAAACCTTATCCCTGCACAAAGGCCGAACGAGAAGCGGCTGCCAAACGTTACAATCTCTTACCTTCTGATTATAAACCATTTGAGGACGATGGTTTGGCACCAGGAGACTACTTCTACGTAGAACCGTATAACGCGAATAATCGCAGCCCATGGGAACCCTATGACTTCCCACGTGAAAGACGAGATTTTAATGACCCGCAACAGTTCAACGCGCAAATGTATCTTGCTTCCGGATATAATCCTACAATACTAAATGAAATTTTAAAAGGACAGCCAATGTAAGCTGTGGTTCATAGATTTCATTTGTAACTAAGGTGGTATATACTGTTCAAGACGTTTGCACCGTTCTTTGGCCTTTGGATGTTCTTATATCTCGGTCAAATGTATTGCTTCTTTCTCCCGATGGTAAGTACTATAAATTTGAACGTCACTTTTCGTTTTATAATCGAGTTAGTTATAATATTTACAGGATCATCCGAAAAGTAAGACTAGGAACTTAAAATTCCATAACAACTCCAAGCTTTAATTTCTTAAATAGTAGATGACAGGAAATCTTCAGCAACTTCCAGGCGAACTTATAGCTACACTTTGAATACCAACCATCATGAATTTGCCTACCGACTTATAATGCGGTAAAAAAGCTGAGACAACTAAGTAGTAGGACCATGGAGCTGTAGTTTTGAGTTTAACTAGCAGATTTGGGCCGCTCCAATACTATATACTGAGCAGTCAGTTTGAGAAGCGTAATGTTTCTAGTTATTTGATGTCTAGATGGTGTACAAAGGCAAACAGTTCGCGAACCCAACAGTTCACTTCTGTCATGAGATCTAATCATTATAAGTGGACAAAGGTCATCGACATTCGACTGCATATTTTTTCGAAGCACTTTTCCATGTGACAAAACCACTAAATTCGTTGCGTCAAAGTTAGGCAAGAAAAACATACCAATTGGCAGCTATATCAGCAGATTTGTACATCGTAACGACCATCATGTGCATGTATAAGTGACCCCGAAAACGTCACATATATGGTGGGTTATACATATAAGGTATAACTTTGAATAAAGTAGGTCGTTTCGAAATCACACCGTACGAAAGTCGTTCAGCAACTAGCTGACTGGACAAAATCGCTTATCTAAAGCATAGTACATACCTCAACATTGTTCAGTTAATGAACATTTAGGTAAACTATAGCCGGTTGTCCAAAAACGGTTGCTAATTTTTTTCCTTCTTTTTACAGAAAGCGAAGCAATATCCACATGCAGTGGACAAAGAAAATCACTATACTTTTGAAAAGCTTGGGTAGATCCGTATGTCCGAATAGAAAGTAATAAAGTCGTAGTAAACAAAAAGAATGGCTTATTATTATTGGGATTTTTTATTGCCAGCATAATTAACCACAATTATTTGCTTCACATAAATACACTGAAATTTGGGACTGCATGGGCACAAACATTGGGGTGCCATTCTTGATAAATAATTGCAACATTCCGTGGATAAGAGAATTGTGTGCATAGTTGTATTCAGGTTTTCCGACTCGATGCTGACTTTCTCAATTGTCGTTCATACTGATATTCACGTTCATTTGCTCTATTGAAAAATGCTTGCCTTTCCAGATACCTATTTTAAAATAAAAAACCCAGTAAATTAACTTAGCTTAAAAAAAAATCTACAATTACAGACCTCATTAACAACCAGATATTTTAGCTAGTGGTGCACCGGAGTAAAACGATGAAATTATCGAGACACTATGAAATCAAAATTGTTATTTATGATTGGAGTGTATTAAGTTAATTATGATTAGCGGCGACATTATATACTACTTGTTGACGATGTGTGCTTTTGTTTCTGGAGTGGAAACTTCAGTTTAGTTGGTGACTAGTATCTGCAAATGCAAAGCGATTCTCTCACTACTGCAATGGAATAGCATTTATGCGTTGATAAACTTGCACTCTTACCCGAAGGCAGCACATTACTGATAAAGTACTTGGTCTCTGACGAGTTTCTACCTATGTTCCATGACACTTGTCTATGTCTCGCGTCTATGTTCATTTTGAAAACTGCTTTTCTTTAGGAGGCAACTGACCATCATCCAGACTTACTCGACCAAGTGGTGTAAATGTGTATAACCTAAAACCAAGCAATCAGTACTAGTGTAATAGGCATGGGTTGTATTTCTTCATTTGGTCGCCAAGGGTACTGAGACTACTCTTTTCTTCAATACAGTTGGTATACAGTAAGGAAAAACTCAAAACTCTTGTTACACAACAAAATTATCACCTTACTGACTATTTGTAAATCGTATATATGAGTACATATCATTGCAATCTTACCCTTCTTTCCCTTTGTTGTGGGCTTTAAGGTCATCTTCCAAAGATTCTTTCTGTACATATTGCTTCCAGTCAAGACGCGACTTTTCCTATAATTTCAGTAAAATAAACGTCTCTACATTCGTTGGTTATAGCTCATGTATCTTAAGATAAGAAACAGAAAAAGATAACCACGTGCCTACTTTTTTTCACGGACTTCATGATTATGATAGTTTTATTACACTATAGTACAATCTAACCACATATTCATTTAGTAGCCCCTAAGCCTTATCGAGAGTGAGGCCTGGCTTATTAACCGATTTACCAGATATAGATATGTGAGGTCTAATTATACTAACGAGCTGCCTAAACTAAGCAAAGCAGAGCCACCACTTGACAAGAGAAGTTTTGTAACTGTGTGGAACTATTGCAAAAAAGCGCTAAAAACTCGTAACTCTAAAACCCTACTTAGTGCTTTGTGAGAATATATAATTTCCAGTAACATACATAAATAATACTAATGTAACGTAACAAAACATCACGAAGAAATCCGGAACTTACTAAGGTAGATAACTTGGGTAGGCTGTTTATCGTGGATTTCAAGTTCTGCAGAGCGTTAGTTAGACCGAGTCCCAAAGACCGTGCTCTGTATTAAAATGATTTGTAAATTGATGCATATAATAAGCAGATTAATTTGGTTCAACATAAGGGAAATATAATTTGTTTTGTCTGAATGCTTTTTGTGGTGTGAAAATGTTAGCAGAAAAGATACGGCTTACAACAGTTACTGTTATGGCTAATATACCAGCAAAATTAGAACAAATACTACTAATTTTGCAGCTGTCACACATATTAGTGAGAAACTTAGTCACTAGCCTAATTAAAGTGCACGAGGACGTACTGAGTTTATCAGGAAAAATTAACTGCTGGAAGTCTGAACGGACTTTATTGCTCACTCTTAGTTCTAAAGAAGAAATAACTGGTGGGAGGAAATCACTGTCACCCTATGGGAGTAGCTTAGCCTTGGTGTTAATTACCTGCTTTGTATTTTCTGTGTAGCATAAAAGACAGAAGATAATGCCTTTTTTACTACAACTGCTGACTGACGGCTTTCAACGTTTCACGACAAAATAGCTCTGATAATTTCCCTTGAGTTGAATCATATTTCTCTCCATTAATTATTATGCTCATATATGTATATCATAATCCACTGGTTGCAACACAAAAATGCAGATGCTATTTAGGCGTATGAAAATTCAAGTAGTGCAGGACGTAAGGTACGTGTATATGAAATAAACAGAAGTGGATACGCAGTGTTTCATTGTAAACATAGTTTTGCTCATCTATTAAGTTGAAATCAGTTTGGAGTTATATGCAGTGCTATTGGTATAGGTTATGATACGACGTTCACCAAAAGAAACGACGGAGCACTTTACGATGCTGTTTGAAATAACTATACACTTGTTACAAAGTTATTACTATTAATCTGTACAACTGTTGACTGTATTCTCAACCGAATAACAGTTTTGGATAGAACTTACTTTGGTTTCAGGGGATTTGTCTCAGTTGAAGTCTTATTATGTGAGACACCTAAACCTTTAGTTCGATTCGAGTTTGAAACAGCCTGAATGACTCTGAAAATAAGAAAGTTGTTTTTATAGATAACAGTCATACGGTTTACATACAAATATAGTTAAGTAGGTGATTGATAATTTACATGGTAACACTGGCTTTTAGTGATTCGGAAACGAAGCAAATGCTTTGAATATACGAAACTCCCGATGTTTAAACTCAGGATCATCATGTAACAAGGGTAAAGTCCGGAGGTAATCACAGCTTGGTGTATTCTCCAATAACTATTATAACACGATGGAGATCCCAAAATGTTGTAATCAACAAGACAATTAAGAATAGATGGCTTGTGTTAAAAGCCTGTTTGTGTCGCAACGATAAGTAACAGTCTATACTCGTAATATGCACCATAAAATCAGTCGACTGTAATGGGCGTAGGGTTTGACACGAAGGTACATCGGTAGTGGTGGGGAAGGCATTAAACAACACGGTCAAAAAGGGATGTACTCAAGGAGTAAAAACGAGATACTACTGAAAATCAAAATCAGGTGGAATTTACAGGGTGGATCCCGCTTCAGTAGACTCAGTCTTAACATTTAGTCAACGGATTTGTCATATATGCACATTACGCTACACGTAACACTAGCATTGATTACTTGGTTCAAACGCGCAAGCAGTACTTCCAGCTTATGTAGGGGTAAGTGCAACGACAGAACGAGATAACAGTTTTCTGAAGATCATCGATGGGAAGGTGAGATTCTACTAATATTTTGAACCTGAAAATTGAACACCCGCACCAGAAAAACGTCATTCGTCACTCATGGGGACTATTGCATATGTATTGATCAATAATAAAACAAAGTCTGCAATGCGTACGATCAGTCAGCTACAACGTAGGACCAGACACATGTGCGTCGGTTCAAGTTGCCACGCCTCATTAGCACAACAAGATGAACACCGAGTTCATAGAACCAGTTAAATCAGTGGTGGTGGTAGTATATAAAAGAAAGATTGCATATAAAGACATAGTACAGGAAGAATTAGTTCGTAGGAAGAAAAATATGACGCGATTTTAATTTCATAGTTCAAAGACAAAGAGTGTATACACCTACGCCATTGTGATCGATTCCGAGCCATGTCACATAGTCTCCAACCATTGGTTACGATAGTCATGCGGACCCCAACCAAGTAGTCTGTATCTACTATCAACGTGGAATCAAATTTCAACAATATTTTCATTACAAACTCAGTAAATTGGTAGTCAGTAGCATAAGCTATTATGAACAACTAGTAAAACTACAGTGTAATGTATCTACTTTCTCATAGTACTAGTAGTATCCAACAGCTATCGTTTGACAATCTTAGTCACTGTATGAACAGGCTGGTGATTTAAACGAGTGTCTAGCCTCAGTGATGTATACCTAATCAAGAAACGCTACTTAGAAATGATTGAAGTCTAGCACAATGCACTACCCATCTGGATGTTGCTGATTTTCACAGACTTGGCTTAAAACATCATGAATACAAGAAATAATAATAATCAGACCAGATCGAGACATGATAAGCTTTGTTAACTTTTGGCACTACTGACCACATATAACTGAAAGTACGATGGAAGCAAATTGTCGACCAGTAAAAATGTAATCTAGGATTTGTGCCTCCGAAAGACTTAACATCACACAAGCAAGTGACTTCGTATGTCCATGTTTTTGGAAAATGTTTAGACAACTTACTAATAAACAGCATATGCTATATAGCATTCGTCGTAAAGTTCATTTTAATGAGTAATGGGGAAAGGAACTAAAAAACTTAGCTTCTAATACTTAATAGGCCACTGCTTCACAGGCCTATAATACGCTACGCTTTAAAGGTAACTTCAAAATTTAGACACGACTCTGTTAACATGGTGGAATGCACATTATTAAAGTCACCCGTCAATAAACGTACATACGGGAAAACATTGAAAAAGTGAAATACTATATATGAGATATTCTCATGAACTTACTCAACTTCCTCCCCAGCAAACTGATACTTTTTTACAACATTTACTTTTTCAGTGCTATTCTTTAATGTGTTATTCGTGGAAAACTGTGCTTACAGATTTCTCGGTACTATCGGAATTTAGAAACTCGTTCCACACTTTATCTTCGTAGGCTTTCACATCCTCGGTAGTGGAAAGCGGTGAACAGTCGGTAATCTAAAACTTGGCCATTACTGACACTAATAAGCAAACCTTGGATTTTTTCGAGTTCCTAAATAATCAGCTAATGGTTAAATCATCATTAAGTTGTACTCATACCTTTTAGCAGGACGTTTTTTACTTGACTGACTGGTTAAACTATCTAAGGACAGATCTAGGGAGGGAATGATTTTACCACTAATACAGTCTGAATCTCCTGATTCTGACTCATCGCTATATTCGCTTTCTGAGTCTTCTTCCAATTTAGAAGCTTTAACTAAATATTGAAAAATATAGTCCTAGAGTTATATCTACCTGGAGGGATATATTCTTCATCTGAAGTAGATTCATCTTCCGAAAGACTCATGATTATAAGTGGAAACCGAAGTTGCCTCTCTTTCGCACAACGACCTTGAAAGACAGTCATTCCATTTTCGAAGTACTTCAGGTTTGAGACCCATTTGTAAGTTAGCCTAACATCGTAGTGCGTGTGATGAGCGACTAGATTTATTGGCCGAAATCGCATCTGGAGTAAACTGATTACTAAGATGCGTGTAAATTCTCGGCATAATTATATTTCAAATGACTGCAACTGCGCAATAAGTTAATGGTCCAAATAATCAATCAGTAATTTAAAATCAAATTTCGTTTCTATCGTACTGTGTCGCTTGTGCAATACTGTCTTCCCCTACTTTCCTTCCCTATTCCATCCAAAGAAGAAAAATTCGCTTTAGTTGCGGTTATGGTGACATATATTCAGTGATTTTTTGTAAAGACAAAATAATAACCGTATTTTCTCTCTAATTTGTCACACTTTATATGTAACCACATTTTTATTCAATATCTGTTTTTCTGTATCACTTGTTAAAAAACGATGATAATTGTTTCGATGACTAATTTACGACTTTACTACCGCGTGGTTTGAAAATATAAAACGCTATCTACACCGTTTGTTCTTCTGCTTTATTGGCCACGGTTTTGATTGAAGACTGCAATAGTGTTATAACATCCTTTTAGGCCTTTCGACACCATGTTGGACTTTTAGCACAGATTATGATATTATAATACTATTGGACTCCGTTTTTCTCAATGCGCTGTAGCGGTAAACAAATCCCCAAAATAAATAGCTCTGTAAGTTTTCGACGTTGGATGCTGACCACATGTTTCAGTGGACTCAACTCCTGAACGCGCTTGGTCATACATCTGCACCAGATCACATGTGGGAACGCCATGCTCAACTGCTACTGCAATCGCTAGTCAGATTAGATCAGAGAATTCCGATATATAGGTTATCGCCAAATACACTCTTCCGATCTCTTCGACTCTGTCTTTTAATTTCTCTTGGTGGGTACGAATTATATTAGATGTTACTGGTAAAAGCGTTGTCAAACACTGAATACCTGTGCCATCTTCAACGCCGTTGGTGCACTCACTTGGAGAGGAGCCTTGGTCAATCAAGTGAACTTATTTGTGGTTGTTATTCTCACGAGGCAGATTACCATTTGTATCTTAACTTTATTTTAATACCCTTGGTTTTTACTCACAGACAGACGCCTAGAGTTTTTACTGCTAACTTTCTTGGTATATTATTATTAATCTAGCGTATCGATATATCTTGTATCAGCTTTTTTTACTGGGAACCACCACACGGTAAATAAATCCCCAAAGTCAATGGCTCTGTAAGTCCTAAACATTTGGTGATGGCTTCATCAGTTTTACTGAACACAACCTAGCTAAAGGCGATCTTGCACGCATTCGTACCAGAACACGAGTGTGCACATCGTGCTACGCATCATTTGCAACAGGTAACCAGCTTTGGCAAAACACTCCTCGACATACGGATATATATAAATATATATTCAAACCGCTTAATTTCTGATTTGTCTGGGTAGGTTTATTTCCATTTTGAAAGAGTTTAGTTAAGACGTTGTCAAACTCTGAGCACTTATAGCGCGTTCAGTGTTAGACGCGAAGCGGTTTAGTACTTTGGACGGTAAACTGTTGGTCTGTTTTTTGTTGGATCATTATATTGTGGTGACCTACTTTTATGAAGAGAACGTGATTGATAAAATGGAAACAACTATTATTATTACCATATGTACCAGTGATTGTTTTACTGTGCCTGTTTATATAAGTGTATTAAATACATACATTCTGCGACCTTGCACACACTTGCGTACGCTCAGTAGTTCCGCTTGCAAACTTTGGCATGATCTCGGTATTATTAAGTTGCGAAGCATTTTGTGAACCAACAAGTGTTGTAATTTATAGATCATGCCTGTAAAAATGACGTGTACCTGCGCATGCAGAAATATATATATATATTTCGATACCATTAGATTGCCAACAAATATATCTTATTATAACCGTCAATTGCCTTTTGGTTTTTGGTCTACGGAGGGATCCAATCTTATAACTGGCACGTAATATTCCTGTAGTGGTGATCATAGTCAATCGCGATTTGACGCCTACCACAATATAATATTCCTTAGATGTCATTCTTTGCATATTGTTTTCATATGTTCATATATTTTTCCTCGCTCTTTGGTATATTTTATACTCATCATGAGGATATAGACCCCTAGATTATCTAAGATAAAGACTCTTCTGTCTCCCTCACTTCAGTTAATTCGATTTTGATCCGACAACATCAAAGCCTGGTTCTGCCACACAGAAGCTGACTTCCACGTGCGAAATTCCTTACAGTAGTACAGTCACTACTGCACGATTTCAGCAGATACGTCACACTTAGTATGTTTGCCAGTGATACTTTGGAACTTTATGAAACTTTAAGAAACGCTGTTCTTGGACGTGGAAATCTAACCAACCGACAAACGTTAGATCAACTCCTCAGCAATTTCGATCCATAACATAGCTCATTAACAGACAGTTTACTGCGAATGTTAGAGGTCATCGAGCGCCAGTTTAGATACCTTTTCATGTTCAAGCTTCCCCAACACGTGCAGGCGGTGCTTGTCTCATTTCAAAATAGTGTTGTAGGCGAACTGGCTAAATCTGTCGACCGAATCGTGGAGATCACTAAAACGTCAAACGCCAAGGTCTGTTCAATCAAAGAAAAGTCTCATTTTTCACAAGCCCCTTTTAAACTCTGACAAGTCGCCTTAATATTCTTCATGACTGTAGACATTCCGAAACTCCTCAGGGGAGTTCTTTACGTAAATAATCTGTCTCCAGATTACGAGAGATAGCAAGCCACGATTGATGCTGGTATCACGGTAACTATGGTGACTTTTCGTGAAACTGCAGGAAACCCCGCAGTTACTAAAACTCCAAACCGACAGGAAATATGCCTCGAGAACCTTCTCAACCGGCACGTGGTAACGGCAATAGTAGCCGGCGAACATAGTCGTCTACCATATATCAATGGTGTGATTACGAAAGTTCGCCACCTCGTCGACACTGGAGCAGGAGTTAGTGTTCTTCCGACAATTTCTAACGATGGGCCGCACGAAGCACTTTTCAAATTACAGGCGGTGAATGGAAAACCGACTGTCACATATTGTGAGCGATATGTTAATCCTACTGTGGGTTTACGCAAACACATTCATTGGATTATCATTGTTGCAGATGTTTCTATGCATATCATTTGCATGGACCAGCCACAACACTATAATCTATTCATCGACACTCGCAAACGGAGGTATGTAGATGGAAATACTAAATTGTCATTTTCTGTAAATACTTTTTCCAGTTGTAAATCGTCTGCAGTCACAATGTGGTACACGATCGATCCATACTATTAGCAAATACTCGATACCTACCCCGAGATATATCAGACGTGACCAAAATTGTTGTGTAACCAGCACGAATGCATAAACGCGGCATTAACGTAAACATTCAGATGTCTAATTGTCATCGATTCGCAGGATTTTCTCAGATACACTTTAATCGCTAAAATCATCCTCCCTCAGGAAAGCAAAGTGGATACCACTAGGGATTATCCTAAGCCTACCACAATCACGCAACTACGCACTTTTGACGGCCCAGTAAGTTCGGAGACTGCTAGTCGGCTTCCTATGCTCCACTCGGAGTAACGAGCGTAAGTGAGAGACTCAAGAGACAGGTGAATAAACACCTGATAACAAGACAGACCATGGAAAAATCGTACTTCACCAACATGGTGTTGGGTAGCCCACTTGCGACTCTTCCTCAGATATTCTTGATTCATTTTTTCACCCCTTTCTCTTGCAAGCTCTGATCACCATACAGAGGGCACAGAGCAAACCGTCAGCAATAGTTATGGAAGAAATTAAATGCTGCAAAATAAGGTGACAAGCTAGTAAATGAAGAGACATCCATGGACTATCGTCGATTGCTGACGGAGTTAGTGGCCATCATTTGGAAGTCGAATGCTGAGTGACCTGGTGGTACTACTTTGGGCTGCGGAGACAGAACGAAGATGTACTTGATTGAAAGATTAATCGAACCGACGTTCCTTCGAACGTGGATTTTAAGAGAAGCTAATGTAACAGCTTAGATTGGTTGGTTAAGATCTGAACTCAAACAACGAAGTATATGTCAAAACCATAGAGCTCAGTTATCTATTCACTTCCTTATTTTGTATAGGCATTATATTTCCTATTATCTTATATTAAATGTTGAGAAGCCTTGTATGTTTGTGCACGCAATCCCATGCTCCACTGTGACTGCGTGACAATTTAAATAACGACCTATTCAACACTAGTCTGGTTTATTGTACAAATAGAACGAGGGTTACTCAAAGACACGGAAAGTACCGCAGTGAACGCATTCAACTAGGCATTCGGAGCATTCTTACAACGATGTGAAAACATAAACTGACAACGTTTGCAAGACGCCGAACCCAGGTACAGCACTTACGGTTAGGAACTCCTAGTCATGTGTTGTGCTGTACAGCACTTTCTGCTTGTTGTTGAAAGTCACTGATCACAAACCTATTATCTCTCTTTCAGTTTATCTCCAGACAAGTACCACCTACAGGAGTCTCGACAAATGGACTACATTTCTCAGCTTACTTCAGATATACAGCATATTTCTGGGGCAGACGAAGTAACTGCAGACTCTTTGTCTCGTATTATTCCTCGAACATCTTCCAAGGAATTGATCTTAATCTCACCCAGCTTCAAAAAGAAGGCACTGATCTTCGGGACGAGTTATCTTTGACAACCCTAAAAATGTGTATTAAACAGAAGAGGACAGATAAGGAAACCTTATTATGAGGCATATCTACAGGTAAGGATCGTCCAATATTGAGGAAATACTATCGACTCAATGCCTTCAACACATCGCACATGTATTTCTGATTCCGGTGTTCGTGCAACCACCAAGCAGAATGATTTGTTGGCCCCGTATGGATAAAGGCGTGAGGAAGTGGGCAAGCTCCTATGTAAGCTGCCAGAAATCTAAGATGATTAGATACAATAAATGTCCCTTACGCTCATTTA